TTTGTATACATGCCCGCACATGAATTGTGCTTTTCCTAAGGGTGCAATAATGCCACCCTGTATTCTCACCGTACACAGGAGTTATGACAGTGATGAAGTTTTAGGAGATGATCACATATAGCATGGCTTTATTCCTTTGTTGTGTAAGAACGTGGCTCTCCAGAGAGGTGCAAAAGCTTGTGTAACTAAATTCGTTCCCTACAAGGTGATATGCGTTCTGGAGCAAGGCCCTTTAGGCGTGATAATCCACTTTTCCTTACCACTCCAGATCTTCTCCCACCTGCTGAACAAAAGCTTCTCTATCTTAAGTCATGGCGGCATTTTATTTTTATTTTTTTTAAAAGAAGCACCCTCAAATGTTAGTTAATAACCAGAACGAGCATTGAGGTCGGTGGATTGAGAGCTTCTGCCTTAATCTGACAAACACTGTCTGGAAATCCAGCTGCCGTATTTCCCAAATCCCTGGATAATTAATCACTGGATTTGAGCAGAATTAACAAGCAACAGCAATGAGATAGCAAACAACAAACTGGACTGAGGCAGCGGGGGGGGGGGGGCTGGGGGAGTGGAAGGTGTGGTTCCAACCCATTCTTCTCATTTGTCCTGTATAGAGTAACAAATCAATTAGTTCCTCCAGTACCAGCAACGTTACAACACCCAGAGAGAGAGAGAACAAGCAAAACCTGCTGGAAATAGTAGAGACAGTCCTGAACGCTAAAAAATCTCTGTTTTCTTCTCTCATGGTAGTGAGTGGAGGAACCAAAACCATTTACAGTAGTAACTTGGTTTTCGAACAGATTAGTTCTCGAATGTTTTGGCTCCCGAACGCCGCAAACCCGAAAGTGAGTGTTCCAGTTTGAAAACTATTTCCGATTGGCTGTCAGAAGCCGCGCTTTGGTTTTCGAACGCTTGGAAGTCTAACGGACTTCTGGAATGGATTCCGTTTGACTTCCGAGGTATGACTGTAATTTCCACCCTACAAAATAAAAAAAATCCTTCCAGTAGCACCTTAAGGTAAAGGTAAAGGGACCCCTGACCATGAGGTCCAGTCGTGGCCGACTCTGGGGTTGTGGCGCTCATCTCGCTTTATTGGCCAAGGGAGCCGGCGTACAGCTTCCAGGTCATGTGGCCAGCAGGACTAAGCCGCTTCTGGCGAACCAGAGCAGCGAACGGAAACACCGTTTACCTTCCCGCCAGAGCGGTACCTATTTATCTACTTGCACTTTGACATGCTTTTGAACTGCTAGGTTGGCAGGAGCTGGGACCGAGCAACGGGAGCTCACCCCGTCGCGGGGAATCGAACCGCTGACCTTCTGATCAGCAACTCCTAGGCTCTGTGGTTTAACCCACAGCGCCACCACGTCCCTTCTTCACACTTCTTCAGATGCCCTGAAACAGAAGAGAGTGCATCTGAAGAAGTGTGCATGCACACGAAAGCTCATACCAAGAACAAACTTAGTTGGTCTCTAAGGTGCTGCTGGAAGGAATTTTTTTATTGTGTTTCGACTACGGCAGACCAACACAGCTACCTACCTGTAACTTCCCCCCTACAGTTCATCCAGCTGACCTTTGACTCCTGGACCATTCAGACTACCCCTCTGGTTTTTGTCAAAGGCTCCCAAATCAGACTCGGGTTTGGGCAGAGTGGTTTAGCTTTCCCTTCAGAATTTGTCAGCACTCTTTGGGATGTGTTGGTTTTTGGGGGGGGGGCAGTGGCAGGAAGCACTGATGAAATTAGGAGTGCATATGCTAATGAGTAGGGGCAGAGAGAGGTGATGCCTGAAGGACCACAGAGTTCTCCTATTTGAATGCAGCTAGTAAACACTTCACAGTACCTGTTGAGATGCTCGACATTTGTGGCACTAAAGTCATTTGAAGGGTAGCAGTTTCTTTCGCTCCCTCTCCCTGCTCCCTCCACAGTTCCTTCCACCCTGAGGCCTGTGGCTGGAGATCCCTAGCAGAGACCCAGCTGTTGCTGCAATAATACCTCCCGGCCCCCTCCTCTTTTCAAAATAAGTTCTCATTATCCACAGATGAGCCCCTCTCTCCAAATCCAAGGCCAAATTGCTCATTGTCCCTGAACTGTCAGGGATTCTAGAAAGCCCTGCAAAGCTGGGTGATGTCTCTGTCTGGGAATTATATTTCCCAGTGCCCTCATTTTTTAAATGAGGAGAAAACACACACACACTAATCTCCATTACCAAGCCATCTATGCAAACAAGCTCCAAAGAGGGAGGGGGAGAGGTATTTTGTCTTTCATACAGATGCAGAAGTGCTTTTCTCTAGCTAGGAGGGCAAAGTCCAGGGCCTTGATGTCCCAGCAAGCCTTCCAAAGCTCTGTGCTGTGGTTTGAGTGTTTAATGCAGAATAAAATTACAACGCATGCCAAGGGCTGTCCTTTTTTAAAAGAAAAGCAGGCAGCAGAGCCAGCCCTTCCATTAGGAGGTTGAGTGAGGTGGCTGCCTCTGGCGGCAGATGTTGATGGAAAGCAGCGATGTGTTGGCAAATAGAGTTGCTTGTGCCCCCAGAGCCAGCCCTTCACCGCCTGAGGTGCAGTGGGGAGAGTGCTGTCCGGTCATAAACGTTGAAGCAAGAGTCAGTGGTCAGTCTAGTTAGCTGCTGAAGGGGGAAACCTTTGCCTCCAGCAGGAAAAAAAATGTCTTGGGCCAGCCCAAATTGCAGTCCATAACAAAAACCCTGCTGGAAAAATGTTTGTGCTATTTTTATGAATTGTCTTCAGGTTGTGAGTTTGTGGGGAGCTCTTTGGTTCTGTTATCTTAGAACCTCTCCCAGTTCTTTCAGTGTTTGTCAAAGGAAAGCAGACGTTCTTGTTTTACCTGTAATAGAGAACCAAGAGCACATGCATGCAGGGTGTGGGTGTTGATTATGGGGCCTGGTGGTTGCACATTCCAGTCTCCCATAAACCGCCGTTCCAGAACGGGAGTCTCTCTTCCGCACCACACTAAAAAATGCATGCTTGCATCAGGACGCCTCATAAATGGCAGGACTTTTCAGGATGGCTGCAGCTTCGCAGATCAGCAGCAAATCAATCTGAAACAAAAACAAAAAACCAGGCAGCCGGTATTCTGCCTGACCAAATAGTTCCACTGGGAGGATCAGCATCAGTTTAATGATATTTGTTGTGTGCTCTACACTCGACTGAGCAGCAACGGAGAGAGGGGGAGAGATGTTCCAGGGCAGAACAACCTGAGTTTGGTTTCCTTTGGGTGAGAAACAGCCAGAGGGAAAGACTGTGCGCTGGAGAAACGAGTCTTGGGTTGCCTGCCAACCTTAAACTGACCTCAGCAAACACTTAGGGCTCATCTAGATTTTTGTTTGCCCTGCTGCTTTCCAGGGGGAAAACCCACTCCTTACTGCTGAATTGAAGCAAACATTGATTGGGTTTTCTCCTGATTGATGCTTGCTCCGATTTAGCTCTAAATAGTGTGCTTTCCAGGAGAAATTGTGGGGGCCTGTGACAAGTGGAAAACGTCTGGGCCCTGTGCTTTCGAGGCACGGAACAAGGGGATGTGCGGATGATCCCTTAGAAAGGCTAAAGAGAAGGAGGGATTTTATCAGAGAAAGTAAAAAGATGTGTCACCAGTTCCAGGCAAGGTCAGTTTGGAGAAGAGATGGATGACTCTCCACCCTTTCCCACCCCGGAGGCGAGGCAAAAGGTTTCTGAGGATCCAGTACATAATGTCATCCCTGCAGTATATTGTTTATCGCTTTCATTTTATGGATCAAAGGTCTCGTTCGATAGTAAAAATCATGTTAAATTGCTGTGTTAGGGGTTGTTTTTAAAAGTCTGGAACGGATTAATCCATTTTGCATTACTTTTTATGGGAAAGCGCGCCTTGTTTTTGGAACGCTTGGTTTTGGAATGGACTTCCGGAACGGATTAAGTTTGAGAACCAAGGGACCACTGTGCTTGATTTATTTACAAATGCAGAAGCATAATGTTGAATGGGAGGTAGATGTCAGGCATTCCCATACAGGGCAGAGACCCCTGAACCTCACCCCACTCCAAGATGCTTCCAACTCTCCCATCCCCCCCACCCCAGGGTCATGCATTTTGCCTGTTCCAAACTCCTGTTTCTTCACCCACCCATGCAGCTGCCCTCTCTCCCTTGAGCTTGGGGTCTGCGTACTTGTAGGTCCTTTCTCCCCCAAACTTGGAAGGGGGCGATTGCCAGCTATCTCCCAACGGAGAAAGCATAATCCTTGAGGCTGCTAACAAATAATCTCCCTAGCAAAGGAAGGTCAGTTAAGAACATGCTAAGCCAGCTGCAACAATTGGCACACAAAGTAGAACTGTACCTGGTTTCCAGGTACGCTAGGAAAGAAGAACGAAAACACAGTATTTGATGATAGAAAGCCAGATTCCAAGGTGGAGCACAGGAATTCATCACTGCCATTCCAGGGCCCTCAAGTTTTGGACTAGGGACCAGAGAAGGATCAGGGTTCAAATCCCCACTCCGTAACAAAGCTCACTACCTCGCAGGATTGTCGTGAGGTTGAAATGGGAAAGGGGAGAACCATGTGTGCCACCTTGAGCTTCCTGGAGGAAAGATGAGATCTAAATGAAAAAGCAATAATAATAAACAGCTGCATCTGGATCTTTAACTCAGGGGTGTGCAGAAGGTAGATAGGGATCTGCTGGTGGGTCTCTGGGTGATTTGCACAAAGTCAGCAAGGGTTTCTGACTCCCAGTTGACCTCTGACCTCCCTCCCCAAATGCCGCAGAACTGAAGAGAAGCTGGGTAACCATGAGCAGATTTTAAATTTATTTATTAACGCCGAAGGGTTGCAAAGCTCTGTTCACTTCGGCAGTCCCAACCAACTCCTAGGCTCAGGGTCCTTTCATTCAATGTGTGTGTGATTTGCACCCGGCTCCAGTTGGTAGATATCAGGCTCCTAATGGACAGATCCTGCAGGCGTGACGTCTTGCCCACCCCTTTCTATAACTGGCCCTGTTCCCCCTTCCTCACCCCTTGCAGAGATGGCAGAATACAGCAGCCTTCTGGAGGAGCTGGCTGAGAACATCACCAATGAAGACCTGGACCAGCTGAAGTCAGCCTGCAAGGAGGACATCCCCAGCGAGAAGAACGAGGAGATCACCACCAGCAAGGACTGGTTCAGCTTCCTGGAAAAGCACAAGAAACTGGACAAAGGTGAGCAGGACCACTGGCCTTTGAGATGGCTCTGCTCTGCCCCACGGAAGGAGGCAACAATGCTTCTGAAGGCCAATTGCTGGAAACTGCAGAAGGGAGAGGGCTCTTGGGTTCGAATCCTGCTTGTGGATTTCCCATGGGGGCATGTGATTGGATGCTGGACTAGATGGGCTATGGGCCCAATCCAGCAGGCTCTTCTGCTGCTCTTAGGCGAAGGAGATGAGGAGGAGCAGGGGAGGAAGAGAATGTGCTCAGCCCCTGGCCCCTTCTGCACCAGCCTATCACTCAGGATGGGGCCCCAGGAGCCGAGGGTGGGGTGCTGGGGTGCGATCTTTGCCCTTGCTGGCCCCAGCCTCTGCCTGGGAACCCAGGAGGGGGCTGGGGTGAGTGAGGCCAAAGATCACCCTCTGCGTGTCCCACACATGCTGGGTGGCATCACGTGACGAATCATGTGGCCCCCCTCAATGGGGGGGACAAGTTGGCGCCCCCAGCTGCACCTAGCCCATACAGTCATACCTTGGGTTAAAGTAGCTTCGGGTTGAGCATTTTCGGGTTGCGCTCTGCGGCGACCCAGAAGTAACAGAGCATGTTACTTTTTGGTTTCGCCTCTCACGCATGCTCAGACGCTCAAAATGACGTCACGCACATGTGCGGAAGTGGTGAATTGCGACCTGTGCACATGTAGACATGCAGACGCGGGTTGCATTTGCTTCAGGTTGCGAACGGGGCTCCGGAACGGATCCCGTTCTCATCCAGAGGTACCACTGTATCTGAATATATGGGATTAAAGTAAACACTGAGAAGAGGGGCAGGGGAGAAGAATCTGTGCACCTAGACAGGCCTACATATCAATAAGCAGCTCAGCCCTCTCTCACCGCCGCTTTCACCCTGATTTCCTTCCAAAGGAAGGAGGCAAGAGCAGCAGAATCAAGCTGAGTGACTCAGAGCTGGCAGGCTTGAGGTTCCAGGAGGGTTGGGGAGAGGGGAGGAGCAGCCTGCCTGCCTGCCTGCCTGCCTGCCTGGCTGTGACAGCTCCAGGCAAGAGGAACGGACGGCTGGGCTCCCGGGAGAACCAGTGACTCAGCAGGCAGGCACCGGCCAGGCAGGTCCGCTCTGGGTTCAGATCTCCTTCAAGGGCTTGACACTTCCAGACCAACAAAGCACTTCTGCAATCACTTCTCTTCTGTCCCCAGGAGGGAGGCTGGGGCAGGGAGATGAATACCTGTGCCCGGCACCATTTGACAGGGCATGAGTGCAGGGAGAAGGTGTGGGTGCCGAGTTGTGCGACAGAACCAGGAGCCCAAACCTCCACCTCTTTCAGGGGGCTCAGTCCAACTGTGGGGCACCCGTTGCAAAAATGGGTGCGTGTTTGGGAGGTGTGCGTATGGGGCTGTAGGAATGACCAGCTCTCAGAAGAGATTATGCCAGGTGTCACACACACAGAGAGACACAGACACAGACAGACACACCACTCACCAACAAGGGGGGGAAACACCCTCTCATGACCCTAGAACTCATGGATGAAGCTGAAAATTGGAATATTCAGGACAGATAAAAGAGAGTCTTTTGCACAGCACATAATTAAACAAGGGAACTCACTGCTGCAGAAAGCAGGGTGGCCACCAATTTGGATGCCATTAAAAGAGGATTGGACAAATCCACATAGAATACAACTACTTATAACAACATAAAAAACAGTTTAGAATCTTATGGTTTTACCTGGTTACGAACTTAATTCGTTCCAGAGGCCCATTCTTAACCTGAGGTACCACTTTAGCTAAGGGGGCCTCCCGCTGCTGCTGGCACCTGATTTCTGTTCTCATCCTGAGGTAAAGTTCTTAACCCGAGGCACTACTTCTGGGTTAGCGGAGTCTGAAACCCAAAGTGTTTGTAACCTAAGGTGTTTGTAACCCGAGGTACCACTGTAACTGTGAAGAATGAAATCACACAAAAATAGGGTGAGCCCTAAAAAATGCACATCTCAGGTGTCAAAGGCCGGGGTAAAAAGTTGTGTCCTCAGCATTCAACAAAAATAGTATGATGACAAACAGGAGCAGAAGCTGCTCTGGGCACAGGAGGAGAAATAGCCAAATATATCTAAATATCGCCCTAGCGCATTAGATGCTCTTCACAGCCAGACCTGCATCCCAGCTCTCTTCTGCTCTTGTTCAGAGTTGCTGGTCTCCCCACCCTGCACCCATCCTGCCCACTTCAGCCTTCCGGATTCTTGAGCTGAGACACCCCCAACACACACACACACACACACACACACACACACACACACACACGGCTGAGCCCTACCCTGAGCTGCTCTTGTGGAGGAAGGCTACAGATGGTGCTGTGGAGCTGGATGATGTCATTTTGTGCTTGTTTAAAAAATAAAGTTGTTTTCTCAGGGCAACGCAACCTGCTGTTGGTTGGTTGCTTTCCTCTCTCCTATGCACACACATACACCTCTGCACTGGTCTCTCTGCCCACGCACCAGCAACATCGTGAACAGACTCACACTGCTGTGCCCACGCAAGACAGCCCCGTGCCTCCAGAGAGGCTCGCAGTCGTCAGTCACACCTTCAGGAAAGCGGCACCAACACACACACACTTGGTATGTTACAGACACAAAGAGTCAAGTTAAATTCACACGTAGAGAATGGAACAGGTGTGGGATTCAGGTGACGATTAGCATGAAACAGTGGGCTGCTTTTGACATGGTGCCATCCTAAGTGGGGGCAGGCGGGGGGGGGGAGAAGGAGAAAGAGAGAAGTCCCTGCACTGATTGTCTGCATTGAAATCCTGGAGGGATGCAAGAGGCAGGGCAACCCAGCCCTTTCATCTTTGCAGGCGGGGCAAGGCAGGCGCAATTCAGCCGATTCAACAGGCAGTGCGCTTGCCACTGCCTTCCTGTTTCCCCACAGCTGGCCTCCTTCCCTGTGCTTATTCCCGCTTGGACTACTGCAATGCGCTCTACGTGGGGCTACCTTTGAAGGTGACCCGGAAACTGCAATTAATCCAGAATGCAGCAGCTAGACTGGGGACTGGGAGCGGCCGCCGGGACCACATAACACCAGTCCTGAAAGATCTACACTGGCTCCCAGTACGTTTCCGAGCACAATTCAAAGTGTTGGTGCTGACCTTGAAAGCCCTAAACGGCCTTGGTCCAGTATACCCGAAGGAGCGTCTCCACCCCCATCGTTCTGCCCAGACGCTGAAGTCCAGCTCCGAGGGCCTTCTGGCGGTTCCCTCCCTGCGAGAAGTGAGGTTACAGGGAACCAGGTAGAGGGCCTTCTTGGTGGTGGCACCCGCCCTGTGGAACGCCCTCCCATCAGATGACAAGGAAATAAGCAGCTATCCTATTTTTAAAAGACATCTGAAGGCAGCCCTGTTCAGGGGAGTTTTTGATATTTAATGCTGTACTGTTTTTAACACTCGATTGGGAGCTGCCCAGAGTGGCTGGGGAAACTCAGCCAGATGGGCGGGGCATAAATAATAAATTACTATTATATTATTATTATTCCTGCGCAGACAACCTCTCCTACATCGAGCACATCTTTGAGATCTCCCGCCGCCCTGACTTGCTCACCATGGTGGTCGAGTACCGCACCCAAGTGCTGAAGATCTCTGAGGAGGATGAAGTGGACACAAAGCTGACCCGTATCCCCAGTGCCAAGAAATACAAAGGTCAGGGGCCTCCCTGCCCAGCACCCACATGCCCTTAGCCACCCCCTTCCCCCAAACCCCGGCAGTTGCACCTGGCTCTCACCTCACCCCTTCTTCCTGCATGGAGACCCTGGGGCTGGGGCAGGTTGGTTGTCCATCTTTCTCTCAGCCTCTCTCAGCTGCTCAAGAGGCTGAGCAGGCTGGTTTTGGGGAAGTAGGTTTTTGGGTTTTCTCATCCGACCTTGAGGAGAGAACTTGGTCTCCTCTCCCTTTTCCAGACCCACTTTGAACAGCTGGAGAAACCCAGCTTAAATCTCCAGCCTGAAGAGCAGGGACATGCCCCACGTCCACCCAAGGGTGATGGGGGGTGGACAGAGGACTCTTTTGTCCAGAGTCCGCCAACAACTCCATCCCCAAACCTCCCTGGCTCACAAGGGGCAAGATGCAGCTGTGGGGGAGATAAATGGTTGGTTGTGCGGGAAACCTTTCCAGGGCGTAGTTTTTCTACTCTGAGGTTGAAGATGGGCAGCTAGGCAAAAGCAGGTCGTGCAACTGTCCCTTTCATGACTAAGGGCGCCAACTGTACAGCTTTCTAACATGAGGAAGAGGATGGGAAGGGATTCAATAATTTGGGTTTGCTCTGCTCTGTTCTGAGGCAGATTTATACGCAGCCCAGAAATAGTGTTCTGCGAGGCCCAGTTGCTAGTATACATCGTTAGCTGAGAGGATACCTTTGAAACACTGAGTTTAATAATAGTAAAAAAGATAAGCCATGCTGTTAATAGTCACGTGTATTTACGTGAACAAACAGCCCCCCCCCCAAAGAGGGCTGCATGTGGGGCCCCTCGGGCCCTAAGCTCTCCACTGCTTCCCGCTTTATAGGGACTGCATTTAGGTTTTCAATCTGTTAAATATCACTTGGAGACCTTCAAGTCCTAATCATAGAAATTAGACTGGGTAGTAGATTCAGGCTGCAGTTTCTTCACACAGGTCCTCACAAGCTTGTGGAACTCTCTGCCACAAGTTGTATTTCTGGCCACCAACTCAGATCTCTTTAAAGGAGGATTAAGTGAACTCAGACAATCCCGCCTGGTGACTCCTAAGTCGTTCTCATGTTGTCTCCCTTCTTTTTCTCCCCACAGACATCATCCGGCAGCCCTCCGAAGAAGAGATAATCAAACTGGCTCCGCCACCCAAAAAAGCTTAAAGTGGGGGGGGGGGAGGAAGGGAGCAGCTGGGAGGAGGATGACCCCCCCACAACCCCCCCCCCTCTGCTCCACTGTGCCCTGACGGTTCCAGCTGCCCCTTCTGGCTACACCCTGCCCTTTCTTCTGTGACTGTCCGCCTGTCTTGTGGGACTGGGGTGGGGAGCAGCCTTGGCCACTAATGGAGTCTTAATTCCAACCCCCCCAACCCCTCCTCCCCACATACATATCCCCCCCTTGCCACTGACTGGTGTGGGTGAACCCTCAGGGGGGAGGCTGCTGGGACAGGTGTGGGGGCGGCCAGGGGGCTGCAGGACTTGCTATGCAAACATGGCGCCCACCTCTCCCCAATTGCCACTCCCTCCCTTCCACGCACCCACCCACTGGGAAAGGGCAGACCCCCCCCCAAGTTTAACACCCCAACAAAATCAAGAGCCTTGGCCTGTTGTTGTTGTTGTTGTCGTCCTTGTTGTTGTTAAGGAAGAGGTGAGGATGGGCAGAGGAAGTTGGATAGGGGGAGATGAGATCAGGTGGGTGGGTGTTTCGGTTTTAAGAAGCCACTGGGAGCCCCCCAGTGCAGAACCAGCGCCAGGAGCTGGCATTGAGGCATCAGTTTGCAGGGAAGAAATTGGGGTGTTAGAAAGGACTAGGCAAAGAGGGGCAAGTTTAGCAAGCAAGGAGGGGAAGGGAACGAGATGGAGAAGGGTTAGGAAGAAGTCATGGCAGCTTTGCTTGTGGGAAAGCCTGAGGGGGCCCCTAGTTGCTCAGATGTGCTGGGGGGGCCCTAGGGCCACAGAACAGGGCCCTGCAGTTTCCCCCTCTAGAATTGTCACCCTGGCTATACACCCTGCCAGTCGCCCGTGAGGCCTCGCTACCACTCTTGACCCCTCCAAAGTCAGCCAAGTACTGCAGCTTAAGATTTTGCTGACATCCCGGCTCAATGCACACACAGAACGAGCGGCGCACTGGAGATTTGCGCATCTCACAGCAGCCACACTCCTCTTCAGCCGCGCAACCTGCCAAGACTTCTTTCGGCTGAGCCAGACACCCTAAAAGGCTTTTTTTGGGGGGGACAGCTGGTTGCAGAGGCGAGCTGCGGAGGGAGGGCATTAACATTTTCTCCCAGGGTGTTATCTCTGAGGCGGAGGGCTAGGGTGCTGGAGTCCCAGGGCAGGGGTGCTAAGTACCTGCTGAGCAGGGAGGGGGACAAGTGGAAGACAGGAGTTGTGGGGGGGGGGGAATACAGCTTGAGAGAAAGAGAGAGGAGAGAGAACAAAAGTTTGTGTGGAGAGAGCTGGGTTCAATTTGGGGGTCTGCTCCTTCCCTGCCAGTCTGTGCTAACCCTGGGGTGGGAGAGCAGGCCTTTCACCAGGAGGCAAGCTGGGGGGGGGGGGGACACACACACCAGCCCACCCCCACTGGCCTGCCAGCCTCCTTGCCTGCCCCCCCGACTTTGTGCCTTTCCTCGGTGTTGGTCGTGCTGCTGCCGCCTCTCCTTCAACTTGCTCCATGGGTGCCTCTTCCTCCGTTGTCGCCAGAGACATTGACCCCTTCCTCCTCCTCCTCCTCCTTCCTCAGGGGGCTGACTTGGTGCCACTTCTGCCCCAATTCAGTCCACCCCCCCACCCCCTGCCTGCTGGCTCGCCTTGAGCGGAGGGCCATTTCCACAGGGGGCCAACCCTTAATCGCCGCGTCTTTTTCTTTGCCGTGATTTCTACTCAGTTCGTGGCTGCATTGTCATAGATTGGGGGGGGACTGGTAGGTGGGGGGGCCATGGGGATGGTGGGACCCTTGAGGCTTTCCCTGTGGAATTGCCTGCCTGCCTGTTGGCCCTCCACACACCCAGGAGACAGCCTGATATGGAGGGCAGGCCTCTTGATGCTCCCTGGTTGCAACAGGGGCACCTCTGAAGCAACCAAGGCTACCAGCAGCCTCCCCACCTGCCCAGACCCAAGACAGCCGGTGACACTGCTTGCACGCACTCATCCTGCATCCCTGCATACGATCATCGAGACACCCGTGTCTTAAATAAATCAGGGAAGTCCTGAGGGGCCACATTTCTGCTTACAGAGAAATACGTGTTGCCTCCCCCTGCAGCACATGCAGCCCCCTTGGGTGCTGAGCAGCTGCCGTGTGTGTGTGTGTGTGTGTGTGTGTGTGTGTGTGTGTGTGTGTGTAAGCAGGCTAAAAGTGTTTAAGGAACAATTGGGGGGGGGGAACAGTAATCCACATGCAGCAAGGAGGAAAGTGGGATTTGTCTGCTTCTCTCTGTCTCCCCACACAGTTTGTTTCCAGATGGAGCCAGATGAAGACAGCCTCCCTGCCTCACATGGCTGCTGGGGGTGTAGAGGAGGAGGAAGGGAAGGGGGGGCCATGTGACTGTTTCTGAGCACCCAAAGCTGTGATCCTGGCTGCTGCGTTCGTCTCTCTGCTGCAGCTTCCATTGCACATATATTGCCATTAAACTAACTGCACCTGTTTCTGGGGTGGGGGGAGGAAAACGCTTCTCAGTTGTTGTTTTTTTAAAAAAGAGACCCACCCAAACGGTGGAACTTGCATCAGACTGCAAAAGGAAATATATATATATATTATTTAATTAACGCTGAAAAACTGCGCTGTGCATCCTGGTGTTGTTGGCCAGGTGGTATTTCCTCCTCTTTTCTCCCTGCCCCCCCCCCACCTTAAAGCGAGACCACCTGCTTCTGCCCTTCCCCCTTGCAGGTAGTGTTGTGTTCTTTTGTGTTACGTATCAACAGGTGGGCTAGGTCTGTGTTTCTTACAAGGCATCTTGTTTAGGTCTCCCCTTCCCCACCCCCCTGGCAATCCCGCTGCCTCTCTACCCACCACACACAGCCTGAGCCTTGCCTTCAATCTCTCCCCGTCCCCCCAAATTCCCTGGGTCAGGATCTCGGCCGCAGTGGGTCGTTCCTGCCCAACCAGATGCATTCCTGGCACAAAACTCCCTCGGTGCGTGTTGATGTGCAATGACTGTTCAGAAGTCCAGAGAGCTGGCGGAAAGGGGGAGCGAGGTGGGGCGGGGAGGGCTCCTCTGGAGCAAGGCAAGGGGTCAGCGGCAGGAGAGAGGCAGGCAATGGCCCCCGTTCGAGAGAGGCAGGCTGCCGTCCCTACAACCACTCTGCACCCCCCCGCCTGCCTTCAGTTTGGCATGGTGGGGCCTCGCCACAAAGCACCTTCTCGCAAGGTTGGCCGTGCACATCTGGACACAACTCCAAGGGCGCATGGCACACTCAGCCGGGCTCTCAGCACCGGGCTTGTTATGCTTCTGGGTTGAGCCAAGCCTAGAGGAAGGGGCCAGAGCATGTGGACTCTCCTTCGCCGGAGGTTTTTAAGTGGAGGGCCATCTGTCCTGGGTGCCTTCGTGGTGATTTAGATGTGGGAGCTTGGGCTAGATGTTGTTTCTGATTCAGCAATTCCACGACTGTGGAAGGGGCTTCTCAGCCTCCTTGCTCTTCCAGAGGTCAACCACATTTCAAATCAAGATATATATAGAGTCTGGGGTCCTGCGGAAAAGCTATGAGGAGCGGTAGCAGAGGGGAGTGTTCGCTCTCGGCTAAGGGGGTCAGGGACACTGGGGAGGGCTCTGGGCTGCTTGCACTTGCTTGCTGCCCTCCTAAGAGAAGCCTTTGTGTGAAGACGTGCAGAAGCGCTTCAGCAAACGCTGTTGGAGGTGCAAAAATTGCGCAGGAGGGGAAGGGGCTGCTACTGCCGCCTTTGCCTTCTTCCCCCCCCCCCCCGACTCCTTCCAAGGTCCTACCATAACAAAAATCAGCCCCAGGAAGCCTCTGCCTTCTCAAAGCCAAAACCTCAGCAGAAGGGTGGTCTCTGGTTCAGCTGCCCTTAAGTACCCACACCCCTAAGACACACACTTCTGATGTTTACAGCTGAACAGTTGGTGGTGGTGATGTCATTGCAAATTAGCAAATTGGCAGCGGGTAAAAATAGTGTCAAAAAAGAAACAGGGTGGCGGTTGGGGGGGTGAGGCTGGAATTAAAAAGCGAACAAACAGCTCAAAACAAAGCGAAGAACAAAGGAGCTGATTAGGAGGCAGCTCAGAATCACAGGATGCAGAAAACACTTTTTTTTTTTTTTTTTGCTTTGGGGCTAAATGCCCACCACCCTTGGCATGGCCAAGTCCTTCACCACTCTTAAAGGGCAGCCCTTGCCTGGTCTCCGGATGAATGCGCCTCAAATATTTTGCAAGGCCAGTGACATTGCCGGAGAGAAAGGAGGCTCTCTGCTAGGTCAGGGCTGGGGGTGGAGAGGCAGACACACACCTGTGTGGCCCTCCAGCTGTGGTTGTGCCACACACACACCCTGGGTCTCCAGGATGTCAGGCAGGGGAAATTCCCAGCCCTACTGGAGACAATGCTGGGGACTGAATCTGGGGCCTTCTGCAAGCCAGGCATGTGCCCTGCTGCTGAGCCACCAATGAGCAAGGCCCTGCAATGTTTAAAAGAACCTCTTCCCACAAGCCACATATATATATAAACACACATACACACAAAAGCAACTTTGCACATACAGTGGACGCTCGGGTTGTGAACGTGATCCGTGCAGGAGGCATGTTCGCAACCTGCAGCGTTCACAATCTGCGACCCGCGTGTCTGTGCACATGCGCAAAGCGTAATTTAGCGCTTCTGCGCATGTGCCGAAACCCGGAAGGAACCCGTTCTGGTACTTCCGGGTTCTGCGCAGTGGGCAACCCAAAATTGCACAACCTGAAGCGTCTGTAACCTGAGGTATGACTGTAATGTTAAATTAACCCCACCACAACACTTTCTCACCTCCAAGATGAGCACAAAGAGACAATTTCCACGCAGACAGAATGTTACCAGTCAAACCAGTGTGCCACCTCTGGTGTCTTAGATTTAAAATTCCGGGACATGGTCAGGGTTTTTATTTTCTTTTAATAGTACAAACCCCTCCTCCGTATTAAGTTCAGGTGCATGAATTGTAGTCCGCTGCAGCCGGACAGAAGCTCCAGGAGCCAGAACAGGGGAAGGAAACACCCAGGCCCCAATCCTGCCTCTCCGCCAGCTCTCTCTACTTCCTCCCTCCCCAGCTGTCCCTGACCCCTGACGCTCAGACCGTGCTAACTGTGTGTACATATATATTATAAATATATGTATATTAAATATAATATTGAGTGTTTAGTGTTAACTTATTCTCTCTTTTTTTGTCAAGTGGACCAAAACAAAAAAACAAAACCACAGCAAACAGGAACTGTAACAAAGTATTAGTTTCTAACTCAACACAATTTTTGATTAAAGAAGTGTTTCTTTGAACATAACGATGAATTAAGCATAATTTCAGTATAGCTGATGGGGTATTTTGTTTGCATACAATTTGGCTAAGCCAAAAATACACTGTGGAGGGACAAGGACTACCTCGAAGGGTTGTTGTGAGGATTTATTGAAAAAGGCAGTATTCCGTGTAAAGTCAGGATAAAAAAAGGGCCTCTCTTGGGTTCACTCAAATCAAGCGGACCTGTGGAAAATATTTACCACCACCCCCTGCAAGTAAATGAACTTGGCTGTTATGGGGGGGGGCAGGTTGGGGTATTTTTCTCGTGGGCTGAGATGTCCCTGAGCCTTGTTTGCACCATCCTCTGCTATGGATTCCTTCCTTGGAGGTTTTTAAAGAGAGGCTGGATGGCCACCTGCCAGGGATTCTTCGCCTGTCATTCCTGCATTGCGGGGGGCTAGTTGAGATGGCCATTGGGGTCTCTCACACTACACTCTGCAAATGAACGGCTTTTCCTTTCCTTTGCCAGCCTTCCTCACCCGCAGCCAGATAGCCTGCCCCCTTCCCCTGTGGCAACTCCACCCTCCACCACTGTAGCCACACGGGCGAGAAAAAAATCTGTTCCAGGCAAACTCCAGCCCTCCAGATGTTAGGGACTACAATTCCCATCATCCCTAGCTAACAGGACCGGCCGCCAGGGATGATGGGAGTTGTAGTGCCAAACATCTGGAGGGCCGGAGTTTGCCTATGCCTAGGCTAAGCACTGCCAGCTTCAATAAATGAAAAATGTACGTTAAAAAAATCGGGGAAGCCAGTACTCCCAGGACGGCCAATGACAAGGAAGTGAGCCATGGGTGCTAAATAAATGCCGCCAGAGTGTTGTGGGTTAAGTGTTCCCAATGAAATAGGGGGGGGGGGATGCAGGGTTCGCTTCCACTGTGCTGGATCGGGGCCGTTGTACAGATTCAGAAAAACCACTGAAGCGAGTGTGTTTTAACGGTCGAGTGGAAGTGATGGATGGCAGTCTTTCTGCCCAGCAGAAGGGAAGTTAAAAAGGGAGTAGCTCTCAACTCTCAAGGAGAGCCCAAGTCCTGCATTGACGGGGCGGGGGGGGCGTGTCTGGATTCGGCCGCCTGCAGCCCACCCACCCGCTCTCCAATTCCATGTTTCCAAGTCAACACGAGGGGTCAGGGGTCTCCACAGCTCCCACCACCCCAAGCTCCTGAGCTGTTCCCCCAAAGTGGCTTGCTGACTTGCACTGTTCATTCCTGCCTTCTCCTGTAAGTGGCGATGTTCTTCGCAGCTTTTTATTTTAAAAAAGGAAAATGTTTCTTTAATCAAAACTTGTCATAACTGCAAAGTTAATTTTTTAAGGGTTTTTGTTTTTTGTTTTTTTTTAGAGTAAAGGAATAAAAGCTCCTGCGTTGATTACTCTCCCCTGATCCCCACCCTCAAATTTTCTCTCCAAAATGTAATGAGAGTCATTGTGCTAATCATGGAAATAAAAGTCAAAGGTATTGTGTACGTGAGGACTGTGTTCTTTCTTTAAAAAAAACACCTTCTCCCCTCTCTGTTAAGCAGGTGGAGGTTGGAGGAGGAGAGGGCGACAAGGGGAGCGATTGTCCCTTCCGAGGGGCCCCTTGCAGCCAAACAGCACAGAAGCCCCCCCCCCCAAGTTCCTGGGTGTTTGGTGCAAGTAAGCTAAGCTTCCCCCCCTATACCAAACTGGAAGAGGAGGAAGACATTGCCAGGCAGCTGGCAGGCACTAGGAGGGGGGTGTTTGTGTGTAGGAAGAGCTGTTCTCACAACCGAAAGGGCCATTTCACCATCCGCAAAGATAACTTTGGGGTGGGGGTTGAGGGCTGCATCTGTTGGATGGCTGCCTGCCAGGGATGCTTCAGCTGTGATTGTTGCATTGCGGTGGGTTGGACTAGATGACCGTGGGAGGGCCCCTTCTAGCTCTGTGAGTCTGTAATTTGAGGCCCCTCCTTGACACACTCCTTCCTTCGCCTTTACTGTTTGGGCATTAATTTGTTTTGGGAACGAAGCTGCTCTCTGGACGCAGCCAAAGTGTTCAAAGCATCTTGCTCTGACAAAGCGAGGCACCCACTCTTTCGCTCCCCAAAAAAGCCGGCCTGAGACTCTCTTTAATAATAATAATATTATAATAATTTATTATTTATACCCCGCCCATCTGGCTGGGTTTCCCCAGCCACTCTGGGCAGCTTCCAACACAATATTAAAATGCATTTAAAATGAGGGGGCTAGTCTGTTTGACCCCAAGTGAAGCCACTGGCTCTTATTTGGTGGGCAGGGGGTGGGCATGGCTACTGAGTCCTCCCCCACTATTCAAACTCTGCACTGCCCCTATGGGATAGGTAAAGGTAAAGGGACCCCTGACCATTAGGTCCAGTCGTGACAGACTCTGGGGTTGCGGCGTTCATCTCGCTTTATTGGCCGAGGGAGCCGGTGTACAGCTTCTGGGTCATGTGGCCAGCATGACTAAGCCGCTTCTGGCGAACCAGAGCAGCGCACGGAAACGCCATTTACCTTCCCGCTGGAGTGGTACCTATTTATCTACTTGCACTGGTGTGCTTTCGAACTGCTAGGTTGGCAGGAGCAGGAGCTCACCCCGTTGCGGGAATTCAAACCGCCAACCTTCTGATCGGCAAGTCCTAGGCTCTGTGGTTTAACCCACAGCGCCACCACGTCCCTAGGGATGCCACCCCCCCAAAAAGCAAAACCAAACCAGGCTTCGAGGCTGAAGAGTTCAGCCCCTGGCTGGCTGCCTTTGGGAAAGAAGATCTCGATATTGCTGATGCCAAAGATGTCCTTATCGCGAAGGCAAGATGCTCCAGCAGTTTGGCTGACTCAAGGAGATGCACGGGGGACACAGAAGTGCTGGCACAGCCAGCGAAGCAAAAAGTAAAAAGGTGATTTAGGAAAGATGGGACAAAGGCAAGGAAGGGTCAGAAGGAAGTGGGGGGCGGATGAGGTGAGAGCCCCCTCCAGGCCTGTGGAGTCTATTAGGCGAACAAGGCCGCAGAAAGGGGGGCCAGACCCCCACCTCCTGTCCCAGGAAGGACAAAGGCAACCAGCCCCACGGAGCCAAAGAGGAACCTCTGGCCAGGCTCCCAGCGGACCCATTTCACACACAGCCAGGCCTGTCTCTCAATTCTTTTATTGCATTTATATAATATATATATTTAAACTTTTACAATAATTTTAACTTGATAACATCCAAGTTTTAATTTGGTTCTTGTCTTGTTTAATACATATAAAATTAGGCCTCTAAACAGCGATGGGGGGGGGGAAGGGCAGTTGTTTTCGAAAACAAATAAGATTATTTTTTAAAGGGAAGGGGAGCGGGGGGAAATGAAACACAAAGAACCTTCGGGCAAATGGAGGGGATCCCACGAGAACCCCTCTCCCTCCGCAGGGCAGCAGTGAGCCCCCCTCCCCACCGCAAAAGGGGAGGGAATCAGCCCCACGACTCCTCTCTGCATTTAAACCTCTCTTAACCAAAACCAAAAACCCTTTACTCTCTGAAAAGGTTGGGCGAAGGGGCGTCCGAGGGGGCCAAGGCAAGCTCTAGACTGCAAAAGGGGGTTCTTCATGCCTCTAAAACTCTGCTGAAGGAAGAACACAAAAAACAGGAGGCGGAGGGAGAAGAACGCCCCCCCCTTGAAAAAAAGAAAATGTAATCAGAAATAAAGCAAAGAGTCCAAGTTTGCTCATCCTGAAAGCGGGCAAGCAAGGGCGCTCCTCAAAAACGGGAGTGGGGGGGGGCGGGAGAAAAAAGCACAAAACCTCCAAAAAAATGCCCCCTTTGGGGCTCACACCAACATCTGAAAGGAGAGGAGGAGGGAGGCAGAACCCGAACTCAGCTCACTCAAAAGGAAGCTTCACAGGGAATGGCCGGGGGGGGGGGGTTCAGCAACCAAGCCCCTTCCCTCCCCACTCCCCCCACCCCATGCCTCTGGGGAAATGGGGGGGTGGAAGGGGGCAGGCCTCCCTCCTCCCCATGCCAAAACCGAGGCAGAGAGAGAGAGAGAGAGAGGAGGAGGGAGGGGGAGAGCAGAAGGGGATCCCAGGGTGTCCCATGTTTGTGTCCCCCCCTGCCCCCCTCAAAGCAAAGTCCAAGTGCAATTAATGCCAAGCAGGTTGCCCCTGGGGGAGGGCAAGCGACAAGGAGGGCGGGGGGGGCGGGGGGGGCTTTCCTTGGTGTTTCAGTAAAAAGCAGGGAGGGGGGACAGATGGCAATTCAAAGTGGTGCGCATCTTGTTGCCGATTCAAGTCTGCACACTCTTTACGCCCCCACCTCTTCCTCATCCTCGGGGGGGGGGGTCTCAAGAAGGCATGCACTGCACCCGATCCGGGCCTTCCTCGTCATCGTCCGACGTGTCAGAGGAGCTGGGGGATTCGTCCGAGTCGCTGTCCGTCGCCCCGGTGCCTGGATCTCTTCGGCGCTGGGGGAAAGGGAAGAGTAGGGGGCTGTGACCATGTCCCATTATTGGGGGGGGAGATCAGCCCATTGCCAAAACAGGCTCACCCACGGCTGCGTCATTCAGGGCTTTAACTCGGCAGCAGGACACCTGCCTGCATGCAGAAGGCCTTGGGTCCGATCCCCTGGAGAGCCGCTGCTGCTGCCAGTCAGGGTAGGCAGTGCTGACCTGGATGGACCATTGGCCTGACTCTGCCTAAGGCAACTTCCTGTGTCCCCATCACCCACTGGGCGGCAGTGAGAGCAGCCCCACGCCCTCCCAACCGACCCGAACCCCCATGGGGTGAGCTTCAACGCCCCCGTTCCCAGTCTTCCAACACGCTGTCCTCCCCCCTGCCCCCCCCCGGTTCAGCCTGGACCGTCCGCCCTACCCGGTGGTGCCGCCTCTGTCGGAAGTGGTGCATCAGGAACCAGAGCAGGTGGCTCTCGTACATGTCCGTGTGGTGCAGGCTGTCTTCGTCCCGCTCTCGCTTGTTCTTCTTTATCACCTGACGGGGAGGACGACGAGGAGGAGAGGGAGAGGGGTCACTGGGCTGCCCAGGGCCCATTCAGAACCCAAGACTCCTGCACTGCACGGGGTTGGACTAGATGCCCCTGGGTGTCCCTGCCGACTCAGTGGCCCGTCTAGTGAAGAGGGACGGCCTTTTATCTGTCCTGAACTTTCCAATGCTCCGCTTCATTGAATGGCCACTGGCTCCAGTACTGATGAGCTTCCCACAAGTGCAGGAAGCCACAGGAGGCCTCCCAGAGAGATGTGGAAGGAAGACCCAAACCACCACCTCCTTCCCAGCCAGCGTCCGTGGCCCTCCGGACATCATCAGCATCAGCATCCTTTATTATTTTCCCCAGCCACTCTGGGCGCCTCCCAACAGAATATTAATAATATTAAGAATACGATAAAACATCAAACATTAAAAGCTTCTCTAAACAGGGCTGCCTTCAGATGTCTTCTAAAAGTCAGATAATTGTTTATTTCCTTGACATCTGGTGGGAGGGTGTTCCACAGGGCAGGCACCACTGCAGAGAAGGCCCTCTGCCTGGTTCCCTGTAACCTGGCTTCTCGCAGGGAGGGAAGCGCCAGAAGGCCTTCAGATCTGGACCTCAGTGTCCGGGCTGAATGATGGGGGTGGAGACGCTCCTTCAGGTCTACTGGGCCTTTGAGGCCGTTTAGGGCTTTCAAGGTCAGCACCAACACTTTGAATTGTGCTCAGAAACGTACTGGGAGCCAATGTAGGACTTTCAGGACCGGTGTTATGTGGTCTCCTCTGACATCCACCATCACCCTCATCCCTGGCCCCGCTGGGAGTCCAACCAAAACTGGAAGCCCCCCACCCCTGCCATGCTAGCTTCCCCCAGACTGCAGGGCGGAGGAGAGAGGGTCTTGGCCAGCAGCGGCCCCCTGAGTCTCCATGGGGCTGAGAAGGCGGCCCTCACCTCCTTCAAGCCGGTGAGCTGGGTGGGCACCTCCGCCGTCGGGGCCCAGACCTTGACGTCGTGATCCAAACCGCTGGTGGCCAAGACTGGGAGGTGAGGGTGGGGCTCCAGGCAGTTGACCTGAAAGAATATCCAAAAACCTTTTTTTTCTGGAGCGGAGTTGTGGCTCTGGGTCGCCCCAGAAACAGCTGGGAGGGCAAGAAAGTAGCAGAGGAGTGGCTGCTCTGTCCTGCAGCCTGCATTCCTGCCCCTCCCAAACTAGATATTCTGGGGGAGGAAGAAAAGGTGGTGTGTCATCTGTCCGTCCGTCCCCCCCCGATGATAAGGGGTGTCAGATTTGCTTGAGGAGAGAGGTGGGCTCTGCACCCATTTCTTCCAGGAGCCAACAGGACGGGCTTTCTGGTTGCCGCCCCCTGAATTCTACCCACCCCTTAACAAATCCTGCCCAGCCTGCCCCCCTCCCAGTCCAAGCAGCCCTCCGGCCAGCCACGCCCCTCACCACGCCTCCTCGGTCGCCTTCCATGAACTGCACCACCTGGCAGGACGACTTCTCCCACAGGAAGATGTGCCCGCAGTCGCTGCCGCTCACCACAAACTCGCTCTTGGGGCCGTAGAAGTTGACGCCCTTCACTGCAGGCAGAGAAGTGGTCTGGGTGAGTGCCTGGCAAAGCCGCTGCCCCCCCCAAGCGCCACCTCCTGGGAAGAGCACAGCAGCCCCCCCCCCTGCACTAGGGGGACCAGGAGGCCCTGCCTCCCCCTTGCATTTCCTTCCTTCCTTCCTTCCTTCCTTCCTAGAGGAGCGAGTTTCCCTTACTCAGGGGGCACTGTGGAAGCTGTGACTCTGGGCACTACGGCCATCAAGGGGGCCATGTGGGGAGAGAACAGGGGCAGGGGCTGATTGGGGACTGTGGGGGTGCCGCTGGGGGGGGACACGACTTTGGAATCCTCTCCTCACTTGCTTATCTGCTTGGTCCCTGGCAAAATCAATCTCATTTTGGCCGGAGAATGCATTTACAGGAACACTACAACTCACATGTGATTTACTTATGAAACTGCAGCTTTGCGTGGGTGGAGGGGAAATAAATGGGGAGGGGGGGACCAGTCTGAAGGGGCCACCACCTGAGATTTTATGGGAGCCACCCACAGCCTTCCAGAAGCCTCAATCTACCCAGGTAGCGATAGTCACACAGAGACGTGGGGCATTCTGGGTCGTCCCGACTTTGTGCGATTTTCCCTTTGCATGCTGCCTCCTGAAACATAACCCTCACGTAAGTTGTGAGGCTACTGCCTGCCTACATATATATATCTAGCCCAGACCTGCCCCTTCTTGGAAGTTTTCAACGTTAGCAAAAGCGCCTGGGGTTTGAGCGAGGCTAGGCCAGGAGCTCTGCCAGCCCCACAGGCCATCAAGGTCAGGGGGCATTTCCCCCTGCCAGGGGGCACGGCGGGGGGGGGGGGGAGGCCGCTCCTGCACCTGTGGCGTTGTTCCGATGCCCCTTGTATCTCTTCAGGTACTCGGCTCCGTCGCTGTGGGACGCGTTGAAGAGATAGATGTCCTCGTCGTTGTAGCTGGCCACAAGCTCTGCAGCAAGACAGATTGCGGAAAGCTCAGTTGCATCTGGGAAATGGCAGGAGGGGAGATCTTTCTTTGGCCTGGGGGGGCGGGCGGGGGAGGCCGGCCAGCAGATTCTAAGACATCACGACCTCCCAGCCTTCACCAGGGATGGGACGCACTGGGCCAGGGCAACCCCGCTCCTCACCCTGTTGCACTTCCTTGTCCGTAACACCCTGGAAGGTTCCTCTCCCAGACTCTCCTGGTCAAGGGCTGTTCTGGCACCCCCAAGCTTGGGGGCTGACCCCCCCCCTGGAGAGCTCCCCCTCTGCCCCACATACCTGACCCATCGTGGCTGTAGACCAAACAAGTGATGTTGGCTTTTGAATCGCTGTTCACCTAAGGAGGAATCAGGGAGCAGAGGAAAGCTCAGCAGAGCACCTTCCCAAAGACCCTCCAGCCCCAGATAATAATAATAATCGTAATAATAATAATAATAATAATAATAATAATAATAATAATAATAAATTATTTATACCCCTCCCTCCCCAGCCAAGACCGGGCTCAGGGCGGCTAACACCAGGTGTAAATACAATTGATTGAAATACAACTTAAAAACAATACAACTTAAAATACAGCATTAAAATGCAGCCTCATTTCAGTAGAAACTCAAATCAAAAACTTTTTGGGGATGAAAACATCAAATATTCACCAAGGCCAACTATCCAGACTGGTCCTACGTGGGCCAGAAAAAAACCAGGGAAGTCCCTAAGTAGGAGTTCCATCACAGAAGGAGAAAGGAAAAAAGAAGAGAGGGAGGGGATCAAGTTGATTCCAAGCCAAAGGCCAGGCAGAACAACTCTTGTCTTACAGGCCCTGCGGAAAGAAATCAGATCCCGCAGGGCCCTGGTCTCATGAGGCAGAGCGTTCCACCAGGCTGGAGCCGGCACTGAAAAGGCCCTGCCTCTGGTTGAGGCTAATCTGACTTCCTTAGGGCCCAGGACCTCTAGGGTGTTGCTATTTATGGCTCTTATGCCAAAGAGCCATGTGGGCTGAGCACAGAGGCAGCTTTTGCACTTGGGGCAGGCAGGCCAAGATTTCAGAGAGAGGCGGTCCATAACAATCCAGCATCCCACTCGCTTAGGGAAGTTTTTCTTTGGGGGCATCTAGCCAGCCCCTGTGACGACATGAGGCTGGACTAGGTGGGCTGATCAGATTCAGCAGCCAGGCGCTTCTTGTGCTCTTATGGACCCTCCAGCACCAGGGGCAGTCTGTCCAGATTGCTAAGCTGTTTGGAGCAACTGGGCACTGGGAGGACAGGAGGCTGGACTGGGCGGGTCCCCCTTGGCCTGACCCAGAAGCCAGGCTCTTTGGGCGCTCTTTGAAGACTGTGTTCCTGCAACCAGAACCACCGCAGGGCTGGGGGACGAAGGGCAAAGACCCTGGCAGGGAAGAAGGAACATGGACCCCAGGAGGGCCCTTACCAGGTGGTGAGGGCAGAACTTCTTCAGCACCCCGTTGTTCTCGTTCTCGTTGATCTTCCGCTGGTCATAGACCCTGGGGAAATGCCAGAAGGGAAAAGGGGGTCAGCTTGCAGTTTTAAGAAGTAACCAAACAATTAAACCCCTGTGTTGCAAACAATTATCAGTGATATCCGAGGCAACACGAAGACCAAATACAACAATGCTAGGACAATATAAACTCTTTATATTATCTATACAGAACATTAAACAGTATGAAATATATGAAATATGCACTCTCTGCAAAACCAAATAAACATAAATCTTATAAATCTCTGAAAGTCACAAAATATGCACTCTTGATGGATTCTCTGGAAACATAGAACCGAATAAACGTAAGTCTTATAAGTCTCTGAAAGTCTTTGTAGACTACGCAAGTCTCTGAAAGAAGCAATGGGTCAGATTCTTTATTTGGTTTTGCAGAAAGTGCATGTTTCATATATTTCATACTGCTTAATGTTCTGTATAGATTATATAAAGAGTTTATATTGACATCGCACTGTTGTACTTAGTCATTATGTTGCCTTGGATATTACTGCAGTTTTAAGAAGGCACCATGCAAAGCAGCAGCCTCCTTTACTTCTACATGCGTCCCCCAATTACGCAGGGGTTATGTTCCATGCCCCCATGCACATAACTGAAATCACGTTGCATGGGGAGCTCCCCACCTAATAGGGAAGGCGCCCGGGGAGAGGGGGAGAGAGAAACTCATGGGTCTGCCGGGGCTGTTGCCTGTAAGTTGCTCAGGGCTGCTGCCTGGCTTCCCTTGCTCACGGCTGTTACCCCAAGGCCACATCGCAGTGAGCAGGTGGCTGAGAGCGACTTCCAGGCAGCTGCCCCGAGCAAGGAAAGGCATGCCATTTCAATTCATTTATTTAAAAGCAAATAAGGCAGGACTGTATCGGGAGGTTTTTAATGACTGATGTTTCATTATGTTTTACAGCCGCTTCAGGTTGCGTTTTTTTTGGGTTACGCACCCGCCAAAACCCGGAAGTACAACGGATTACTTCTGGGTTTCTGCGGTCGCACATGCGCAGAAGTGCTAAATCACGCTTTGCGCATGCGCAGAAGCGCTGAATCACAACCCGCGCGTGCGCAGACGTGCTGCTGTGGGTTGCGAACACTGCGGGTTGCAAACGTACATCCAGCACGGATCCACTGTATACGCGATGGAAGCCGCCCAGAGTGTCTGGGGGAACCCAGTCAGATGAGTGACGTATAAATGATAAAATCATTATCCCTTTGCACATTGGCGAGACGTCCGCAGGGGGCACGGGAGGAGGGAGACGCGGGTGCCCAAGAGGGGGCCACAATGGACCCCACAACCAGCCAATAAGACGCTTCCCTCCCCTCAACCCCACAGGCCCCCAGAACCCCAAAGTGGGCCAATGCCTCCCCCCAACACCAGCCATGACAACGGCCTCCCCTGCCTTTGCTGGGACAGCGGGGTTCTGGGAGACAGGGGGCGGGCTCAGTGGTCCCCGAGATGTCGCCGGGCGGGAGGGGGTCTCACCTGACATACTCGTCTCTGCCCCCGACAGCAAAGTGGTGGGTGTTGGCCGGGTTCACGTAGATGGTGTAGAGGCCCACCTTCTTCTCCTTCTCTTTCGTCACCACCAGCTTCCTGAGGATGCAAACCAGAGAGAGAGGGGAGGGGGCTTGAATTCACCTCAGTGGAAAGAGCGTCCTCACCCCCCCCTCCTCGCCAGGAGCGGCCAGGGTTCAAATCCCCACTGAACCATGAAGCTCCCCAGTTGTGTCCTTGGGCCACGCACTGCCTCTCGGCAGAAGCCACCTCGCAGGGTCGTTGTGGGGAGAAATGAGCTCCTTAGAGGAAGGTGGGATATAGAGATAGAAGGATGGATACCGTATTTTTTGCTCTATAAGACTCCCCTTTTCCCTCCTAAAAAGTAAGGGGAAATGTGTGTGCGTCTTAGGGAGCGAATGCAGGCTGTGCAGCGATCCCTCTTGCTGTTCTGGCTTCTGAGATTCAGAATATTTTTTTTTTCTTGCTTTCCTCCTCCAAAAACTAAGTGTGTCTTATGGTCTGGTGCGTCTTATAGAGTGAAAAATACGGTACACACACACACACACACACACACACACCTCCCCCCACAGCTTATGAGTCCTGATGGAAAAAACCCACCCGCCCCTTCAGGCTCCATCATGGAGACCCCAATGGACCCAGCCGTGTCCTGCTCAAACGTGGCAAGGAGTTGTTTCCTGGCTCCAGGCTTCAAGGAAGAGAACCAGGGAGGGGGGGCCCTTCTGCACCAGCCCCAGTGGAGCCAGGAAGGCAGAGCGGGAGGAAGACAGCTGCCACCCCAAATGCTCGGCAGCCGGGGGGGGGGAATCTGAACCCAAATCCCACCTCCCCGGAGAAGCTGGGGCTAAAGTAGGGAAAGGGGCAGGAGAACTACTGGGGGGGGCAGGCTGAGAGTTAGAGTAACGAGAGGGGGCCCCACACACTTACGAAGCTGGCCGGTCTTGTCTCAGGTCAATGGTGAAGACCACGGCGTCTTCGCCAGCCGAGAGGAAAGTGCAGGGGGAGTCTGGCTCGAGGGCCAACTGAGAGAGAGAGAGACGGGCTGGTTTGAGGGGGGGAGCTGCAGCGAGGCCTCCCCCCATCACCCCTTGTGTGCCCTCGGACAGCACTCCCTTGGGACCCGCTGCCCAGAAGCTGCCAGGCCAGAGCAACTCGAGGGCCAAAGACTTCCTAGCAAGATGGAGGCAGTGTGGGTGAGCAGCTCCCGGGGCTGAGAAATTGGAGCAGCCTCGCAGTTTGGGGAGCTTCTGGACCTGGCGCTGTCCCTTGAGGATCAGGGAGCCTCGGTGGCCAGAAGTGCCTTTGACCAACTGCAGCTGGCAGCTACGGCCATCCGTGACCAGGAAAGCCTGGCCACCCCAGTTCACGCACTGGTCACTTAAGGACTGGATCACTGCAAGGCCCTCTTTGTGGGGCTTCCCTTGCACTTGACCCCGGAAGCTGCAGCTAGTGCAGGGTGCTGTGACACGATTGCTGGCAGGGGTGGGGCCTTTGCAGCATGCACCGCCCCTGCTCTGAGATCTGCTACCAGGTCAAGCTCAAGGTGCTACTATCAGTCAATAAAGACAACTTGGGACCAGTTTACCTGCAAGATCACCCCACAGGTGCCCACACAAGCGCTTCCATCGACAGAAATGGCACTACCAGGAGTGCCACATAATACCAACACCACGTTTATAAGAAGTCCATCATTTAGCGTGGCAGAGCCTACCCTTTGGAACTCCCTGCCTATTGATGCCGAGCAAGCACATTCACCGCCCTCTTTTCAGGGCCTGCTAAAAGCATTGTGTTCAGACAAGCCTACCAGGTGATTAGAAATTTAACCCTGTTTAAGTATTTCAACTTTTGCAAGTTGTACTGTTGCAATTCTTTTTATTTTATGGTTTCATCTTTTTGCAAACCGCTTTGAAAGTTTTTTTTTTTACAATCAAGCGGTGTACAAATGTTTATGAAATAAAGAAAAATAAATAAAGCGGGGGAAATCCCCCTCCGAGCTATATAAAGATCCCTGAAGCCTTTTTGCAAGGCTAGGCTGCCATCCCTTCCCAGCCCTCAGTGCCGCTGACATCAGGCAGGGCCTGATAATTTGGGGCTCCTGGGCAAGATGGCACCTTTGAGAATTTCCCCCGGCATCCGTGATGCCCCATAGCACCCCACAGCGCTGCTCCCTTCCTCATGAGCCCCCCATCAAACCCTGGAGAGGGCTGAAAGAGGAAGATGGAGGGGTGCTGTTCTTGCCCACTTCCTCCTCCGTCTCTAAGGGGCTTTTCCCAAGGCTCACAGAATTATAGAGATGGCAGGGACCCCAACCTCATGCGATGCAGGAAATCTCAACTAAAGCATCCGTGACAGGTGGCCTTCAGATCAATTCTACTGGGTTGAACCTTCCCCACCACCCCTTAGGGAAGCGAAGTGTGCAGATGGGCCCAAGCTCTCGCCCTCTCGCTTTCTGTGCCCCCTCCCCCAGGACTAGAAGCCTGCTGCCCAGCTGCCCAGCCTCCCTCCGCCCCAGCCGGCCCACTCACCTTGTGCGAAGCCCCCTTGTGCTGGGCCACCCGCTTGGTGGTCTTGCAGCACTGGGTGGCAGAGAGCTCGGCCACGCGGACCTGGCCGTCCCGGGCGCACATGGCGAGGGTGGAGTCCCCGCTGTTGGGGAGGAACTTGGCCTGGCAGGGCAGGAGAGAGAAAGAGGAGGCCCTGAGACTGCAGCTGATGGACAAGGAGACACCCCCCCTGCCACACAAAAAATGACCCCGCAGTGACTCCACCCTCCAGCCAGCAAGGGGTCCTTCCAGGTCGCAGGAAGCACAGCCGGGGGAGAGATGCAGAAACGGGGGGCGGGGAGTTTGGTTCCCCAGGCTTTGAGTGACACCCAGGGAGGTGGAGCTCAAGGCCTGCCCAGGAGCAGCTGCTAGAACAGGGAAGGCCCCTAGCAGGAGTGTGGGCCCACCCCCTCTCCCAAAACAGTAAGAGCTGTTCGACAGTGGAATTTGCTGCCAAGGAGTGTGGTGGAGTCTCCTTCTTTGGAGGTCTTTAAGCAGAGGCTTGACAGCCATATGTCAGGAGTGCTCTGATGGTGTTTCCTGCTTGGCAGGGGGTTGGACTCGATGGCCCTTGTGGTCTAGTCCAACTCTAGGATTCTATGATTCTATGAAAACCCACCAATCAACAGACCAAATGCCTGGAAGTACTGGCTGACAAAGGAAGGGGCCCGTGCCATGGCCAGATGGAGCTCTGCCCCACTTAAGAGCACAGAGCTCCCTGAACGTCATGGGAGTTGCATGTGGGGCTGCCTCTGAATACGGTTCGGAAACTTTAACTGGTGCAGAATTTGGTGGCCAGGTTGCTTACAAGATGGTCAGAGCATGCAACACCCATCTTGGCCAACTGCAATGGGTGCCCGTAAACTTAACGGGCAATTCAAAGTGCTGGTTTTGACCTACAAAACCTTGAGAGACTCAGGACCCCAATACGTCATGGACTGCATCTCCCCATATCGACTGACCCAGGTCCTCCTTTGCGTGCCTCCTCCATGAGAGGTCCAGAGGGTGGCAGCATGAGCACAGGGCCTTTCCTGCAGTGGCTCCAGCACCAAGCAAAAGCATTCCTCTTCACCCAAGTCTTGAGCTGCTAATCCATCTACGGCCTTTCAAATTGCCTGCTCCCCCTTTCACTATTACGATACTCTGAATTCTTTGCTTTACGCTGTAACCAACAAACCCCAAGGTTGGGCGAAGGAGCCCCCCTCACCTGGAAGACGTTGCTCTTGTGGCCGCTCTCAAACTCCAGCACCGGCTGCCTCCGCACCCAGTCCCAGACCACCACCTTGAGGTCGTCGCTCCCACTGGCCAGCCAGGTGCCGCGCTGGTTAAAGTGCAAGGTGTTGACGCAGCCCGTGTGGCCCTCCAGCCCGTACTGGAGCCGGAAGCGCTGCACAAAGACTTGGGCGCCGCAGGCCTCGTGGATGAAGCGGGCGCAGGAGCCCAGAGCCCTCTCCCGCAGTGCCTGCACCGCCCGCCAGCGCGGCCGAGGCAGCCCCGTCGTCTCCGAGGCCACCCAGTCCTCCAGGGCCCGCTCATCGTCCGAGGAGTCCCGGTCCCGGTTGGGACGCTTGCGCTGGGCTCGCCGGCGGGACCGCTGGGCCTCGGCCGCCTCCACCTCTTCTTCCTCTTCCTCTTCCTCCTCTTCTTCCTCCTCCTCCTCCTCTTCCGAGTGCGAGCGGTCGTAGGTGCGGTTCATCTCGTTGATGGAGTAGTGGCCCGTGTCGTCCATGCTGTCCGAGTCCTTCTCCTCCGCCGAGCTCTCTGTGTAGGTGCGGTTGGGCCCCACCTCGTCCCCCGTGAGGCTCAGGCTCAGGTCAGAAGCCTCGACCTCCACCCCTGAGGACGTCTCATGGCCCTCCGTGGCGCCAGACATCTCCTCCGGGCTGCTGGATAAGCTTCCTGTGCAGGGAAGAGAGGCAGGTGGTGAAGCCGCAGGAAAGCGCCCTCCCCACCCCAGGTTTCCGTTCCTATCGGAGCCCCTGCTGGACTGCTTCAGGCAGCACAAGTCTGGGACCGCCCCCAACACTGCAGAGGTTTATTAAACCACAAGGGGATGGCTCAAGAAGCAGCAATAATCGTATACCCTTGAAAACACTCCTTCTATTGGGGATGGCCGTCCTCTTCCACCAAGCGCACGGCTTCAGGAGGGAGGGAGGGAAGGGGCGCCCGCCAGATCAACTGAATCAACCCTGGCAATCAGTGGGGTGACTGGTGCCACAGCCACATCGCTCTCACATCCGCTCAAGATGCACTAACGGTTCTTTTTCTGGCATCCTGCCTACCCCTCTCCGCCTCAGCCTGGAGAAAACCACACCATGCTCGGTATGTGTGGATACTCACAGAACTGTAGGTTCTGTAGGGACCCCCCATGGTCATCTAGCCCAACCCCTGACAATGCAGGAAAGCTCCAAAGGAACTGAACTGGATTACGGCCATGGCTCTAATGTGGGGCTCCCCTCGGGGTTGGTCCAGAGGTCGCAACCGTGGAGAAAACCAACTGCCGGCATTTAACACCTGACTTGTGGGATTTGCCCTGGGTGCCGTTCGTGTAACGGGCCAAATTCAAGGTGCCGGTAGTAACGCATGAGGCCTTCTACAGCCCAGCACTAGGTGAGCTGAGAGACCGCCTCATCCCTTATCCCAGCGTTTCCCAACCTTGGGCCTCCAGCTGTTTTTGAACTACAATTCCCATCATCCCTGACTACTGGTCTTGCTAGCTAGGGATGATGGGAGTTGTAGTCCAAAAACAGCTGGAGGCCCAAGGTTGGGAAACACTGCCTTATCCACACAACAAATCAGGGCAGTCTGTGGGTGAGCTTCTCCTGCAAACCCTGAAGATCTCAGAAGCTGCTTCAGGCAGTATCTCAGAAGAGCAGGGTCTTGAGAGTGACTGCCCCTCTTCTGTGGCACAACATCCCTGCCTAGGTGCCCACTTTTTGCCCCAAGAGGCGTCCCTCGCAGGATAAATGGGTCTTTGTCATGGCTATCCACTTGCTAGTTTTGTTTTAAACATCTTGAGCTGTTTTCCGTTACCTCCTGTGTCAATCAAGAGGGTGGTTTAGAAGGTGATTGATAAATCACTGTTTTGTTTGAAAGAGGGAGTCAACTCCACGCCGTCTGGGCTGAGTCAGAGTCCCAGCTCCTCAAGTCGGTCAGAAGGGGCTGAGCTGCAACCCAGACCTTGCGGGGATGGGGATGGGGGCTAACTCAAAAACCTTCCCCTTTGCTCCGGCTGCGGGGGAAAGCTGCTGAGGGAGGATGGATCCACTCCCTCGCTGCCAGCTGGATCCGCAGAGCTGCCAACACTCTTCCCGCCCACCCGAGACGCGTCATGCCGCTCTGCTTGTTTGCCCTCTGTGCCGCCAGGCTCCGTCCGCTCAGCATCAACTCTGCTGGGGCTGACACTCAAGAACAGAGCAAGGCCGCCTCCTGCACCCGGCCAGGTCCGGCCAGCTCAGGACTCTCCGTCCTGACAGGCAGCAATGGCTCGCTGGGGTTTTAAGCGAGGAGATCTTCCCCAGCCAAAGAGGACTGGGAGTAAGTGCTCAGCTGTTGAGCTCCGAAGCTTCCCTCAGAAAATAAACATTCCCCTTCGCCCTGACTTGGCGGACACTGCCTTAAACTGTGTCGGGGTCTCTGGGCTCCAACTAGCTCACTGTTCTCTGCACTGGAAGCCAGCAATGGCTCTCTGGGGCTTCCCCAGCCCCAGCAGGACTGAACCCAGGACCTTCTGCATGCCAAGCAGGTGCCCTGCAGAGGAGCTACGACAGCCCTTCCCCAAGACAAGAGAAAGAGCCGCACGAAACTCTGGCCGTGTTTGCTGGGCAGAGGAGGGTGACCAAGATGACGAAGGGTCTGGCGACAAGGCCTTGGGAGACGGCGTGATGATGAAGCCTCGTGAGGAGCAGCCGAGGGAGCTGGGGATGTTTAGCCAGGAGAGGGGAAGGCTGAGGGTGGCATGGGAGCCATCTCCAACTCTCTGGAGGAAGACGGGGCAAGCTTGTTTTCTGCGGCTCCAGGGGAGGAGACAAGAAAGGAGATTCCGACTCAACGCTAGGAAGAACTTTCTGCTTGATAGTGGAAAGGACTCCCTCGAAAGGTGGCAGACTTGCCTTCACTGGGGGTTTTGACGCAGAGGCCGGGGAGGGGGCACCTGGATTCTCCAGCATTGCGGGAGGTTGGACTGGATGACCTTGAGGGGTCCCTCCCACCTCTAAAATTCTATGATTTGTGGGCAGGATGGCAGCAAATGGAGGTCTAGAGACAGAGGGGGGCTGCATGCCACAATTCCAGGGGAGAGGCCAGACTGTGCCCCAGATCAGCTGGAGGGGCAGATACAGCGGTACCTCTGGATGCGAATGGGGTCCATTCCCGGGCCCTGTTCGCATCCTGAAGCGAATGTAACACGCGACTGCACGTCTGCATGCGCTCGGTCGCATTTTGCCGCTTCTGCGCATGTGCGTGACATCGTTTTGAGCGTCTGCGCATGCAGCAAAACACGGATGCAACGCGCTCCGTTACTTCCAGGTCGCCGTGGAGCGCAACCTGAAAACGCTTAACCTGAAGCGTATTCATCCCGAGGTATGACTGTAACACAAGAGAGCTGCTTTGGGGTGGGTTTAGAAATGGGGAGTATGAGCAATGGGGCCCTCTGGTTCGGTGAGGGGGACATACGCACCCCTGGGTGGGCACCTATTGCATTCCCCACCTCCAATGTGGAGCCAGATCCAGCAGCTCTCCAAGGACTCAGCTCAGGAGCTGCCGCCGCCATGCAACTTGGGTTTCAAAACCCAGAGCCAAAGAGATCATGTTGCGCTGCCCAGGCCTGGACACTACACTCAGGAGTGGGCGTGGGCAAAACCAAAAGGGAGGGCTTTCCCCCCCCCCCAGCCTTTGCGGCTCTGACTTCTCCTGGCGACTCTGCATCCACAACGGCCTGAAACAGGAGCTCAGAACCATTCTCTGGTCAAGCTGCGAGGAATCCTGAGCTCGCTGGACAAGGCGGGTGAGAAGGCTCTTCTCCTCTGTCAGAGACACACATTCAGGAGGCACTCCAGGGATGTGTCAGGAAGGTTTGTGGGAATCTAGCCCACGCGCAAGTTGTGGGTCTTGCAATTCAGGGACCTGCAAGTCCAAAGCGACGTGGCTGGAAGCCACTGGGAAAAAGCACACCAAGAACTCAGGCCAATGTAAGTTTCCGTAGTCCCTCCACCCTGCTCCTCTTACCGTTGGGTAAATCTGTTTTCCCATCTGTGCTACTTCCTGCGTCTGACATCGCGTTTTCTCGTGAATTCGCCCTGAGAGGTTCAGTAAAGAGAGAAAAGGAGGAGGCTGTAAACATCGGCGCCAACAAGGGGGACCCAACTGTGTGGAAGAAGCTGTTGGCATGGGGGTCAGCCTCTGCTGGGAGGAGAGCGGGGCCCAGCCTGCTGAAACTGCCCCCCAGGCAAGGCTAAGGGGTGCTGGCCCCCAGAGGCAGGCTGATCCCTGGCCCCAAGGAGGATCTGAACCCTCTCCTCCCTCCAGTTGGGGGCCATGATATGTGCAAGGCTCCCCGGCCAAAACGAGGGCCCTGGCTCCCCATTCGTTCCCAGGCCCCGATCCAAAGGCCCAAGGGGGGCCTCGAAAGTGCTTGGGCCTTGTTTGGGGCCAGGGCATCCCCTAAATCAACTGGCCCACCAAGAACTTCACCTCGGGCCTTCCGAAAGCACCCTCTGAAGTACGCCTGCTTGAACTGACTAGTTGAAAAGCTGGAGCAACGGTTGCGAACGCGAGGAAGCCAACAGGAGCCGTGACATCGCAGCCATTCCTCCTGAAGCCCCCCCCCCCCCGAGACCCTGGGCCCAACTGCCCTTCCCCAACGGTCACTCTGTCCGGCACGGAATGCAAAGGACCAAGGGGGCCTCCAAGCCTCTTAGAGCAGGACGCTCCCTCGGCACACACACAAACTCTCCCATTATTCTCTGATGAGCTCGTTTCCACCTAGGTGGTGGGGCAGCCAACCGCCCCCCCCCCAGCGCCCCTGGGGTGCCACTCCAAGCTCCCTGGCTGGGTCAGCAAAACTTCTCCCTCCCAGAAGCCTTCTCACACTCCGGTTCTCTCAGCAATAGAAACATGGAAGCTCCAGGCCAGAAGTTCCCAAAGTGGGGAGGGGGTGGCACCCCCCCTCGGGGGGCAGTGGGATTACCTAGAGGGGGCTAAGAGGTGCTAGAGGAGCAAATGACTTTTGGACTTTGAAAAGCTGAAATCACTGGATGAAGTCCATCTGTTTCGGTGAATCAATTAAGCCAGTTTCAACCAGATTTTGAATAAATTGTGACTGCTTTTATTGTGCCGTTACCTTCCTTAACAGGTTGTGCAAACCAATATTCTGAATAATACTTTTCTATAAGGCAGGGTGTATACTGGGGGTGAGTTTATGGGCCAAGGAGGTTTCAACCTAAAAACATTTTGGGTCCACTGACTGCTCTGAAGCTTCCTTCCTCATTCAAGACTTCGGATACCTAAGATGTGTGTTTGGAAAACATTGGAAACGCCTTGCTCAGGACTTCCTGTGCTGACCCACAAGGACTGCCCTGGGTCTCTCCTGGCGCCACCTGGAGGTTCCAGTGACGGCCGACTCTGGGACCTTCTGTCGGCAAAGCAAATCTCTGAGCTCATGAGCCTCCCCTGAAAGTGCCTCTTCGCACCCCGTCAGCTGTCACTTTTGCATTAGCACAGAGATGACAGAGCCTGGGAGGCAGAAAGGCAGAGGGCAGGCCCGGTGCCACCACCTCCTCCTCCTGCACCCCCCATCCCCCCGCAGCCGTTTCCCACAGAGCAGGGGGTCAGGTGAGTCACCACAGCCACCCATCTCATCTTCCTTCAACAGAGGCTCTGGTGGTGCAGACCAAGCGCCAGGCGCCATCTGCAAGGAGACGCACACAGAGTGGAAGATGCAGGCCTGGCACTGCTCTTCACGCTCCCCAAAAGGAGCACAGGTCCCAGTTCCTTATCTGGGGGGGGGGCGGGTACCTCTCCTGGAATGCCCCACAAACAGGTCCACAAACAGCAACACCCTAGAGGTCCTGGGCCCTAAGGAAGTCAGATTAGCCTCAACCAGAGCCAGGGCCTTTTCAACACTGGCCCCATCCTGGTGGAACGCTCTGCCTCATGAGACCAGGGCCCTGCGGGATCTGATTTCTTTCCGCAGGGCCTGTAAGACAAGAGTTGTTCTGCCTGGCCTTTGCCTTGGAATAAACTTGATTCCCTTCCCCTCTTTCCTTTTTCCTTTCTCCTTCTGTGACGGAACTCCTATTTGGGGACTTCCCTGGCTTTTTTTCTGGCCCACGTAGGACCAGTCTGGATAGTTGGCCTTGGTGAAGACTTGACGTTTTCATCCCCCAAAAAACGTTTCTGATTTGAGTTTCCATTGAAATGAGGCTGCATTTTAATGTTTTCATGCTGTATTTTAATCTTGTTTTTAAGCTGTATTTCAATCAATTTGTTTTATATCGGTTGTTAGCCGCCCTGAGCCCGGTCTTGGCTGGTGAGGGCAGGGTATAAATAAAATTTATTACTATTACTATTACTATTATTATTATTATTACCTGTGGCCAACTCCACAACTTGCAGGAACTGCCTGAGAAGAGGGTGAAGGCAAGCACCCCTCCCCGCCCCCCGGCATATAACAACACAAGAATGTAAGACGGGCCTGGCTGCTGGATCAGGCCAAGGAGGCCTACCTAGCCCAGGCTCCTGTTCTCTCAGAGGGCAAATACCCCATGGAATCCAGATAGACTACCCCTGGACCTGGAGGTTCCATATGAATATCCAAAGAGCCTGGCTGCTGGATCAGGCGGGGGGGGGGGGGGACGGACGGACGACGACACCTAGCCTAGTGTGTAACCAGATGCCTCACAGGACCCGGGAACAAGAGCACCTTCCCTTCCTGCAGTGTCCAAGCAGTGGTTCAAGGAAGCAGCTCCTCAAGGCCAGGCGCTCTGAGCTCCAAGGCACAACTAGAAGTGTTGGTTGTTACCTGGAGAGCCCTAAGCGGCTATGAGCCTGGCTACCTGGGACCTCTGCATGAGCCAACCCGAGTGTTACAATCTGCCTCCGATGCCCCCTCTCCCACCAACATCTGAATGACCAGAGGGTAGCACCTTGCCATGCACCCTACGGAAAATAAAACCCCAAAGCAACTGCACTCTCCTATATCTTGCTGGCCCCAGACACAGACGTCCTTTGCCTGAGACTTCCAGCATGCATCCGAAAACAGCCAGCTTTCGTTCTTTCACTGCCAACCTGGTTTATGAAGAGGCAACACTGCTGGTGCTGTGTTTATTATACACAGTAGTACCTCCGCTTACGTAACCCTCGGGGATACATAAGTGGCAAACCCAGAAGTATTTTAGCGGGTTTTGCCATGCGCGCATGCACAGAAGCGGTCCTCCGGTTGCGAAAACCTCAGGATCTGGCCGGACCTCCAGAACGGATCCCATCCGGCACCGGAGAAACCACTGTACAGTGGTGCCCCGCAAGACGAATGCCTCGCAAGACGAAAAACTCGCTAGACGAAAGGGTTTCCGTTTTTTGAGTCATTCTGCAAGATGAATTTCCCTATGGGCTTGCTTCGCAAGACGAAACGTCTTGCGAGTTCGTTTCCTTTTTCTTAAAGCCGCAAAGCCGTTAATAGCTGCTAAGCCACTAATAGCCAATAAGCCGTTAATAGCCGTGCTTCGCAAGATGAAAAAACCGCAAGACGAAGAGACTCACGGAACGGATTAATTTCGTCTTGCGAGGTACCACTGTATTGGATTTCATCCCGCTCATGTACAAAGAACGCTCCTGCATTTGCCAGCTAAGTAAATCCATAGCTGGCAGGAGAAGCACTAAGTTAAGCTACGAGGCGTGGGGGATTTCTTGCTTGTTTTCTGAAATAAGAGGCCCGTCAGCGATCAAGAGCAGACCGAGGGAGCAGCCCAGCTCTTTGGTGCCTGGCCATAAACTCTGGAGAGTGAGGGGTGGGGGTTAGCCTTCAGCCATTTCTGCGGGGAAGGAAGTTCGGAGTGAGGTCTAAGGGAAGACACTTGGGCTCAGGAAGACGACAAAGGGCAGGAGGTATCGCCCGGCTCTGAAGAGGCTCCTGCTGGCCTAATTGCCAGCGAAAGTGGCTATTATCTGGCTGATTCACCCTCTTCTACAGGCCCGGCTGTCACATGGAAATGAGAGTGAGACGGGCATCAGAGTTGCTGGCTGGGGGGCAGGTGACAAAGAGGCAGCACAGAGGAAGGCAAAGCAAGCATAGAATTGAGGGGGTGCCCAGCGTTCATTTAGTCCACCCCCGGCCATGCAGGAACCACAGCTTCCACCTTCCCTGGTGAAAAACCATGTGGGGCAACATACACTTTGGGGGGGTTAATGTCACCGACAAGAGGAACTGGCCCTTGGTTTCAACTGAAACTAATCCAAAGTCACAGCATCCGAAGACCTGGGACTCTTTTGAGCTGGCCTGCAGCTCCTCCTTCGCCCCTCCCTCTTTTTGTCTGGGAGGGGGCGGGATCAGTGGAGCCAGTCGGCCAATCCCCACAGTGGCTCGGAAGCTGGGACCCTGGACAGCTTCACTCTGAAGAAGTGCCAAGGGAAAGCCCAGAGGAAAGCAGGGGAAAGGGAAGCTATGGCTTGCGCAGGGAGCGATTAGAGAAGGTGGAGGCAGCCCGGCTGAGGCCGTGAGACATCCTGGCTGGGCCCCAGAACTGCTCATAAGCAGATAAGGGAGGGAACAGGCAGGAGGAGGGCGGCCACCCAAGGTCACTAGCCGCTCCGAGGGCTTTTGGCTGCTGGAAGAATTAAAAAGGCCCAGCCAGGAGCCCTGGCCTGAGCTGAAGGGGAAGAGGGAAGCATCACGCAAGGCAGCAGAGGCCAAAGCCATGCTCCCCTCCAGGCGTAATTCCCTAGGTGGAGTCAGGGCCGTCCCCTGTGCTGAGCCACTGCTCAACCCCAGAATCAAGGGCAGGTGGGATTCAAAGCCCCTCTCTCCCGAAGGCTCCCCTACCAGGGGACGTAGCAGCCTGAAATCCCTCCACCAGGCAGCTGGAGAGGGAAAGAGAGACAGAGATGGGAGGCCGCAGCTGGTCATTGCAGGGACGGGGAACATTCTCAGCCCAGGGGCCGCATTCCCTTCTAGGGAACCTTCTGGGGGCCAGAAGTCGGCAGGGTCAGAAGCAAGAGTGGGCAGAACAACGAATGCAAATTGACCTTTTAGCAAACATTCACCATGATCAACTCCTGCCCAGAAACCAATGTCCCCACTGTGGAAGGATGTGTGGATCCAGAATTGGCCTCCACAGTCACTTATGGATTCACTGTTAAGACCGTTTTCATGCAAGATAATCTTACTCGGCTATGAGCAACCGTCAAAGACCTTCTACATGCCCACCCGTCTCTACCCTCCATGCAGGCAAACGAGAGGCATTACCAGAGACCCAGGGCATATTTCGGCCAGGCAAAGACACTCAAGGAGGATGCAAAGCACAGGTCAGTGAGGGCAGAGTCCCAGGGGCTGGACGGAGAGGTCTGGGGGGTCCCTGAGCCTGAGGTTCCCTATCCGTGCTCTAGGGAATAGTACCGGAGTTTGCTTTCCCCCTCTTCGCTCCCAATTCCTTTTCCTTTTGTGAATTCTAGATCACAAGCCCGAGGACAGGGACTGTCTTATCACCAGTATTTGTAATTCACTCTGAGAACCCCTTTTGCTGAAGATTGGGATATAAATGCCTTGGATCCAATCTACGCTTCCAGGTGCCATAAGAAAGCTGCAGAGATAGCGCAGGATAGTGCGCACCCCAGAAATGATCTCTTTCAGCTTCTGCCTTCTGGAAGAAGGTGCAGGGTTAGAAAGACTAGGACTAGCCGCCTGAGAAACAGTTTCTATCCAAATGCGATTTTGGTTTTAAATGCAGTGTAAGGAGTCTGTATAGGGACGCGGGTGGCGCTGTGGGTAAAAGCCTCAGCGCCTAGGGCTTGCCAATCGAAAGGTCGGCGGTTCGAATCCCCGCGGTGGGGTGCGCTCCCATTGCTCGGTCCCAGCGCCTGCCAACCTAGCAGTTCGAAAGCACCCCCGGGTGCAAGTAGATAAATAGGGACCGCTTACTAGCGGGAAGGTAAACGGCGTTTCCGTGTGCAGCTCTGGCTCGCCAGAGCAGCGATGTCACGCTGGCCACGTGACCCGGAAGTGTCTCCGGACAGCGCTGGCCCCCGGCCTCTTGAGTGAGATGGGCGCACAACCCTAGAGTCTGTCAAGACTGGCCCGTACGGGCAGGGGTACCTTTACCTTTACCTTTAAGGAGTCTGTATGGGTGTATATTGTATTTAATTATGGGGTATCAGAGTTTTTAGGGGTGAGCTCCTGTTGCTCGGTCCCTGCTCCTGCCCAGCTAGCAGTTCGAAAGCACGTCAAAGTTCAAGTAGATAAATAGGTACCGCTCTGGCGGGAAGGTAAACGGTGTTTCCGTGCGCTGCTTTGGTTCGCCAGAAGCGGCTTAGTCATGCTGGCCACATGACCCGGAAGCTGTATGCCGGCTCCCTCAGCCAGTAAAGCGAAATGAGCGCCGCAACCCCAGAGTCGGTCACGACTGGACCTAATGGTCAGGGGTCCCTTTACCCTTTACCTTTAACCAGGCTGGGATAGCAGGCTTGTTGGTTTTTGAATGTCTGATGTAGATTTTTTTCAATTTTGTTGTTCTGTATGGGACAATGACGATAAAGATTATCGTAAAAAAAATATCATAAAAAATAAGCAAAATAGGGAGGAACCCTAGCAAAACATCACAGAATTCAACATCCACAGAATTAGCAGATTACAGAAACCACGCACTAACCTGGATGGCTTTAAAAAAGGGCAGGACAAATTCACGGAGGAGGAGGAGGAGGAGGAGGAGGAGGAGGAAGAGACTATCAATGGCTGCTAGCCACAACAGCTGCGTCCACCCTCCAGAGTCGGAGGCAGTAGTCCTTCTGAATACCAACTGAGAATGCTCTTGTGCTCCAATCCTGCCTCTGGGATTCCCACTGAGGCAGCTGGTTGGCTGCTGTGATTACAGGATGGTGGACTAGACAGGTCATTGGCCTGAACCATCAGGCTCTTCTTACGCTCATACGACTCTGACGCACGATTTGGTAAGAGCAGCACCACCAGTGGATAAAGGCCTCTGCACTGATTAAGACTGTATTTTCATTCCAACACAAGATGAACGCTCCCAATTTTGTAAGCGTTTAACTTGAAATAGGGACGCGGGTGGCGCTGTGGGTTAAACCACAGAGCCTAGGACTTGCCGATCAGAAAGTCGGCGGTTTGAATCCCTGCGACGGGGTGAGCTCCCGTTGCTCGGTCCCTGCTCCTGCCCACCTAGCAGTTCGAAAGCACCTCAAAGTGCAAGTAGATAAATAGGTACTGCTCCGGCGGGAAGGTAAACGGCGTTTCCGTGCGCTGCTGCTCTGGTTCGCCAGAAGCGGCTTAGTCCTGCTGGCCACATGACTCAGAAGCTGTACGCCGGCTCCCTCAGCCAATAAAGCGAGATGGGCGCCACAACCCCAGAATCGGTCACGACTGGACCTAACGGTCAGGGGTCCCTTTACCTTTACTTTAACTTGAAATAAGTTGGACTGATCAGCAATGGGGCTTCTCCTGAAGGACACACTTATCTGGGAGGGATGCCAGCCCCCCCCCCCAGCAGCACTGGACACCCAAAAGTTCTGCTCACTGCTCTGTCCTCTTGGGCAGGGACTAAGGAACCTCAAGGCAGAAACTTACCTTTCCCCGACTCCCTTTTCGAGCAGAGTAGATCCAGGAGCTCTCTGGGAACTGGCGCTGTAGAACTGACGTCAGACTGGGGGAGAAAGCAGAAGATGGGATTTGAAGTGGGGCGGTTTTAATCCTGCTTTTCCTGAAAGGTCTCCACATTAGTGCAAAGGATCTCTTTAGTACCAGGGTTAAGGGCGGCTGGTGGAGAAACAGGTAAACAGTGTGGAGTTGCCTCTCTCAGCTGGAAGACTCCTCCTGTATTGCAGGAGGTTGGACTAAATGGCCCTTTGGGCTCCTTCAAAAACTACAATTCTTTGATTCTATGACTTTCAAGGCTCAGGCAGTTGATGGGCCACCGATGATGCACCTTAGCACCCCTGTTGCTACAGGGATCAGAAGCGGCTGTGAGAGCCCGTTTTGCAAATAAAGACAGGAGGAGAAAGTTACACGGAGTGAAATTCATACATATGGTTAGAACGAGTCTTGTGGCACCTTAAGGATCAATAAATTCACAGCCACACCTAATTTATCTCAGTTTTATTTTGCCCGTGCACTAATCAGTTTGGGGTAGCAGATAACAGATTCTCTTGCTCCCTCTTCCCTCCCTTTCTTGAGACTTGCTTTCACTGTTGCATTGCTTTGAACTTTTCCCTTTCTTAAGCGTAAAAGCAACAGACGCAAACACACAGTTTTTATATACAAGCATGTGCAAGCAAAAACACGCACGTTTAAGTATCAACGCTCACTTATGTAAGAGTGGCTGGAGTAACCCGATCAGATGGGTGGGTTATAAATGATAAAATTATATTATTAATACTCTGGTTGCTCTTCAGATCATATAAATATTTTGCCTTGTTAATGCTATTTATCTGCATGAAACGGTTCGGTTCAAATGAACTAAAGGCCCCACTGAAAAGACTGGAAATTTACTGCCTTCCAAATCATTTGAGATGCACATTTGTTTATTTTTAAAATAAATGGTATTTCAAAAAAATTAATAGTCTGCTTGACATCCCAAAAAAATATTGAAGCAGCATGCAAAAGGAAAAGAGGCATGCAAGTCCCAGCAACCCAAATAAATCAACATGAAATACATTCCGGGCTTCACAGGGGAACGTTGGACTGGCCCTCCAGTGGAAGGAGCCAAAGACCTCCTAACAGATGGTACCATTTGGTGCCAGGGTGCCACATAACTTATTTAGATATATAATCATTTTATCTATATTATAGTGTGTGTGCTTTTTATTGTATCCATAATTGAACTTTACAAAGAAGTGCAGTCCGAGAAAGACAAGGCGTGATTATGCAGTTCATGCAGTCTCAGACTGGCTGGCCTTGGGGGGCAGACCCTGCCTCTCAGCCTGACCCACCTCACAGGGTTCTTGTGAGGACAAAATGGGGAGGAGAGCCCTTCAACTCCTTGGAGGGAAGAAGGTGGGATAGAAACGTGTAAGAAATAAACAATGTCACTAACATTTCATCCGGACCCAAAACTTTCCTGGCGCTTCTTTTGACTGGCATCATGGTAAGGATTATATTACACATCTCATACCAGAAAAACATTTTTCAAAGCATAGTATGAAAAAGGGGTTTGAAGATTCCTTTGGCAGCAATAAGACATAAGTTACTTAAATAAAAAATTATTTTATACACATCAATGGACAGCTCTCTCAATTTTACGTGTGTGTGTGTGTGTGTGTATACACACACAGACAGACAGACAGACAGACAGACAGACAGACAGACAATCTAGCTATAATATTGATAGAGACAGATCTGGATCAATGTTGGGGCTTTGTTGTTTTAAACAGGGGGATCCAGCCACGGTTTCTCCATCCCACAATGAGACTTGGGGGCAGCCTGATGCCTGCAAGGAAGAACCATGAGCCTCATTCAGTCTGCACTCACCACCCGGAGGATGAGTCTCAAGTGCAGACCTCAAGATCCTGACTAATTCCATTAAATTTTTTCTTCCCCTCCCACCCACCTTCAGCTCCTCCAACTCCTGTTTCATTTAACGTCAGTCTCCATTCTGGGTAACTCAAACACTTGTCTGCTTTTTGTGACATTTTGGTTTGGTCCTGATCAAGATCCTGCCCAGGTGTGGACTGGGAAATTCCTCTTATGGACCAACAACTATTGCCTTCAGGCTTTGTACACTGCTGCTTCAAACTCTTGTAAGTCATCGTATAAGAAAGTTTTCTCACCCTGAAAAGTGGGATATAAATCTGTTTATGTGTGCAGATCTGTGTGTGCGCATTCTCTCTCTCTCCACTCACACATATACAGATATACACACAGAAGCAGAAAGGATGGCAAATCGCAAACAAATGTGCTCCTAATTATTTCATATCCATGCACACATTACTAAATATATTTAATCCTAAATTATGTATTTTCATAAATTCCATGAAGTTGAGAACCATATTGTGGATTTCACTGGAGTGCAAGATTTGAAGGAATCTCTCTCACAGCTGGTCACCAGGTTGTTGTGAGGGGAGGAAAAATAGGGAGAACCATATTTTCTACTTTGGACTTCTTGGAAGAAAACTAAGGTGCTGATGTAGTAATAAAAAAAAACAGCACTGGGCTGAGAAAGTTCTGAGTTGTATTTAACGAAAACAGTGGTTCCCAATTGGTGGTCCGCAGGCCCCAGGGTGGGGGGTCCACATAACCCACCCAAGGAGTCCATGGCACCATTCACATAACAAAAACTACCTAGAGATATCAAAAATTTCAAAAGTAGGGGGAGTCACGGATTGGCTTTTGAAAAACAAGGGGTCCTCAGTACTTAGCTAACTGGGAACCACTGAACTTAAATGTTAATGGATCTAAGTTAGCCATGCCCATTAATCTGCTTCAAATCCCTGTTCAGCTAGAACTCTCACCCATGAACTTTGGACTAGTCTCTCCTCTCTAGGCCTAACCCACCTCACAGGGTTGTTGTCAAAATAAAACAGGGAGCTCCTGAGCTCCCTGGAGGACAAAAGTGTAATGAACGAATAAAAAAGATAAGATAGGAAAAAATAATGTAAACAGACTTACGCTAAAGATAAATACAATTAAATATGAATAGCTAAAAAAGGTAAATATAAACATATGATAAATAGAGAGAAATGATATAGCTAGCAGAAAGATAAAATATAAACGGACAGCTTTAGCTAAAATGATAGAGATTACATATAGGAAGATATGTACAGATAAAGAAGACAGATGAATAGATAAACAGAAACTAGTTACAGGTAAAAAAAATTCCTTCCAGTGTCATCTTAGAGACCAACTAAGTTTGTTCTTGGTATGAGCTTTCGTGTGCATGCACACTTCTTCAGATACACATGTGCATGCACACTTCTTCAGATGCACATGTGCATGCACACTTCTTCAGATACACATGTGCATGCACACGAAAGCTCATACCAAGAACAAACTTAGTTGGTCTCTAAGGTGCTGCTGGAAGGAATTTTTTAAATTTTGTTTTGACTACAGCAGACCAACACGGTTACAAAAGAATTTCAGAAATACAGTGGTACCTCGCAAGACGAATGCCTCACAAGACGAAAGGGTTTTTGGTTTTTTGAGTTGCTTCGCAAGACGATTTCCCCTATGGGCTTGCTTCGCAAGACGAAAACGTCTTGCAAGTTCGTTTCCTTTTTCTTAACACCGTTAATACAGTTGCGACTTGACTTCGAGGAGCAACTCATAGCACGCGGTGTGGTAGCCTTTTTTGAGGTTTTTGAAGACTTTGGTGATTTTTGAAGCTTTTCCAAAACTTTTCCGAAACCGTGCTTCGCAAGACGAAAAATTCGCAAGACGAAAAAACTCGCAGAACGAATTAATTTCGTCTTGCGAGGCACCACTGTAGACTGGAAAGAGAAGTTGCTGAATTGCAACTTACTACCAAACTTAAAACCATGGAGAGACCTGGTCTGAATAGAGACATTGGATTCTTATCTCATTATACATGATAAAGCTATTTTTGGCCACTTAACAGTCGTCAACAGGTTTACCACACCTATCAGCCAATCCCCCATTCCCACCCCCCTTCTGAGTAATCCCCCTCCCCACCCTCTCCCTATATATAAGGGTCTGGTGACTTCTGTTTCAGTGCATCTGAAGAAGTGTGCATGCACACGAAAGCTCACACCAAGAACAAACTTAGTTGGTCTCTAAGGTGCCACTGGAAGGAATTTTTTTAAACAGAAACTAACAGAGCTAAACAGAGGGAGGTGACATAGATAAACATAGATATCAGTGAATAAATATGGATATAAATACACAACAGAGACTGAACATAAACTGAGATAAAGGTACGAGGGCGGATGAAGAGAGAGACTGGCCCTGCTTAGAAACAGAGATGGATATTTTTAGGCTCCGCCTCATTTTGGCGTCTGGAAGCGGCTGCAACCTGTTCTTAACATTATTGTGTTTTAATTGTTGTGACCTTAAGGCCAAGTGAATAATAGCAGCGGCCACGGAGAGAATGGGCAAAGAAAGAAACACAAGCCAGGGATGCAGAGGCGAAGCAGAAACGGGGGCAAAGGGGGGAGAGAGAGGCCAGAAGGAGCAGGGGAGGGAGGCAGAGAGAGAGGCGAGGCCCCCGAGGGAACCCCAGGGCCACGGGGGGGGGGGACTCCGACACCGAGGAATAGAGATATATAGAGAGGGGGGAGTCCCCTTTTCGACCCCCCTCCTCTTGGGGGGAGGGGCTCTTCCTGAAAAACTCCTCCTCCCCTCCCCCACCCGCTTCTTCCTTCCCCCAGGAGGGACGTTTTCTCAACCCACTTGGGGGGGGGTGAAAAGAAGGGGGGCGACACCATAAACAAACAAACATCCCTCCTCCTTTTTGCAGGGCATTTTCTATGGGGGGGAGGGGAGCGGCCCCTCCCCCCCCCGTTTCCTGCCCTTCCTTCCCTTCCCCCTCCTGGGCCTTCTCGGGGGGGGGTGTCCCGGTCGCCTCAGCCGCCCTCTGGGGGGGGGGGGGGGAAGCAAGCGTCGGACCCCCTCCCCCCCTCACCTCTGGAGGCCGCTCCGCCTCCCCCTCCGCCTCCAGGCCGGGGGGCCACCGCCACCTCCGGCGCCGCCGCCGCCATGGGGCCGCCCAGCCGCCGATGCTCCCCGGACGCCGACGCCGCCGCCCGAGCAGGGCTGTGTGTTTTTTCCCTTTCTGCGCTTTACGACCCCGCGACCACGACACTTTGCGACACTTCCCAGGCAACCGACCCCGAAGGAGGGAGGGGAACGCGCACGCGCGAGGGGAGTGCTTCCGGGTTGGGAGGGGAGAGGCGCCGAGAGGAGCGCGCAGAAGGGCTCCAGGGGGAGGGAAGGAAGGAGGGCCATCGAGAGGCGCGCGCAGAGCGGCAGCTCCTAAATAACAATCACAACAATAATCAAAATATATCGTATTGTTTTATATTATATAGTAGAATAAAACACGATCAGGCTCCCCCATTTTTATTTCTAGGTTCCAGTCTTCCTTTCAAGGCTTCTAGGTTGCCTCCTGTGGCAGAGAGTTCCGCAGTTCAACTCTGTGCCACCTCAAGGAGGACTTTCTGTTATTTGCCCCACATTCAGCTTCACAGAATTTCCATGAGTTCACAGCTGTCCATGGAGGCGCAGGTCAATTCTGTGTCCAGGGCAGCTGTCTTCCTGCTCCATCTGGTATGCAGGATGAGACCCTCCCTGCCTGCGGACTGTCTTGCCAGAGTGCTACATGCTCTGGTTATCTCCCACTTGGACTGCTGCAATGCGCTCTACGTGGGGCTACCTTTGAAGGTGACCCGGAAACTACAACTAATACAGAATGCGGCAGCTAGACTGGGGACTGGGAGCGGCCGCCGAGACCACATAACACCAGTCCTGAAACATTGGCTCCCAGTACGTTTCCGAGCACAATTCAAAGTGTTGGTGCTGACCTTGAAAGCCCTAAACGGCCTCGGTCCCGTATACCTGAAGGAGCATCTACACCCTAGGACTTGCCAATCAGAAGGTTGGCAGTTCAAATCCCTGTGACGGGGTGAGCTCCCGTTGCTCAGTCCCAGCTCCTGCCAACCTAGCAGTTCAAAAGCACGTCAAAGTACAAGTAGATAAATAGGTACCACTCTGGCGGGAAGGTAAATGGTGTTTCCGTGCGCTGCTCTGGTTCGCCAGAAGCGGCTTAGTCATGCTGGCCACATGACGCGGAAGCTGTACACCGGCTCCCTTGGCCAGTAAAGCGAGATGAGCGCCACAACCCCAGAGTTGTTCGCGAATGGACCTAATGGTCAGGGGTCTCTTTACTTTTACCTATTCAATGTCAAGAAGATCAATATCCAAACCGTGGCCAGGAGTTTGCCTATGTCTGCTCCTTGATCGTATGAACCTTTTCTAGCTCTGCAACATCCCCTTCGGAGGTGAGCCTGGCATCATCCGGCTCTTAAAGCAGGGAGGAAAAGGAGGAGGGAATTTTATTCTCACACAAAACAGGGTGTCCGGAGTAAGCCTTGACTTCTCTCTCTACACACACACACAGTGCTTCATCAAAAGAAAACGCAGAGAAGCGAAAAGAGGTCGAGGATCAGCTTTTCCACCTTTATTTTTAATAATTATCCTTACACACACACAAACACCCCTCCTCTGAGGTCCTGCCAGTCTCAGGAAGTAGAGCAGATATAAACCCCAGAGCCCCCCCCCCACCAGTCCTGGCAGGGATGAGGATGGCGTCACCCCACCCCACCCCGACTGACCTCTCCTGGCTTTCTCTCTGGCCAAGCCAAGGTCCCGGGGGCCCAGAGATATAGAGGGGCAGTGTTAACCAGAGGGGCAGGGAGGGTTAGTATTGAAAAGTGGGGAGAGAGGGCACCCAGCAGCTGTTTGGGGCAGGGACGTTTTCAATGCCCCCCTTTAAATCAGTGCTTTCTGGAAATCGCCTCAGCCAGCATCCCCACTGGGTGGGGGCTCCTTCCTCCCTGCCAGGTGCGGAGGGGATTCTGGTCCAGCGCCAGCAGCGCCGACCGGCTTCCAAAAGGCAGATTCCAGGGAACCCCAGGCAAAAAAAGGAGGACCTGCTGTTGCCAAGAACTGCAGGCCTAAGAAAATGGGCCCGTTGGCAGGTGCTGTCGCCTTCTCTGACCCCCCCCCCAACACCCCCACCTGCCTGTCTCCCTCAAGAGCCAACCAGGGGAGCAACTGACACACACACACACATAGCGGCTGAGCTCCATCTGTTAGTCGGTCCAGGGCAGGGAAGGAAAGGGAAAGAAGTGGGGGGGGTCTCTTGCACCCCCGCATACACACACACACACCCCAGGACCCCAGAGACAGCAGCAGCATGTCCATTTACATCCCTTGAGACTTTCTGAAAGCCTCTAACTTGTATCATCCTATTTGGATTTTTTCTTATAAAGTTCCCCCGCACACATACATATTAACACAGTCAGCCCAGCCCCTTTTAGGCACCTGGTGATTGAAGAAAACCAAAATAAAAGGAGGTGGGGAGAGGGAGAGAGTCAGCCCCCCCAACCCCGGACACAGTAATGCCCCTCCGGGGACCCCCTGCCGCGTTCCTCCCGGTCCGCTCGCTCTGTGGGGTCACATGATCTGGCACTGGTCTCCTCCTCCCGAGCTGGCTGCGTCTGGCAGGTTCATTCCCTCCAGGTCGAAGTTCAAGCCGGGGGGCTGCAGGAGGAAGAAGGAGGAGAGAAGGGGGAGGTTAGCTGGGACCCCTGCATTGCAGGGGGTTGGAATAGATGACCCGCAGGTGGCCCTCACAACTGTGCCGTTCTATGGAATATTTCCTGTTGTGCAGGAAGGAAGGACATTAACCAACAAATTGCAAGAAAGGCGATTAGGAAGAGCTTTCTGAGAGCAAGAGCCGTTTGGCAGAGGAATGAGCCCCGTCTGAACGTTGGCGCTCCTTCGCTGGAGATTTCCAAGCAGAGGTTTGTTGGCCACCTGCCAGGGATGCTTTTGCTGCGATTCTGGGGGGGGGGCAGGTTGGACTGGATGGCCCCGGGGGTATCCCTTCCAACCCCACAATTCTCTGATTGGCTTGCAGGAAGGAAAGGCGTGGGCAGAATTAAGAAGGGAGCTGTAGTCCAACTACATCTGGAGGAATGAAGGAAGGGAATGCGGGCAGGACAGGGGAGAGGGAGAGAGAAAGAAAGAAAGGGGCGGCCATCTGGCCCAAACTCACCGATTCTCCCGCCAGTTCCTTGGGGGGGTGGCCCAGGTCTTGGAGCTGGAAGGCAGACAAAACAGGCAGCGGCGTCAGCAAGGAAACCATGGCAGGGGGCTCAATTTCCTGCCTCCCCCCCAGTGTTAGGATATATTGATGTTCCGCTCCACCTTAACAGACGTGTGGAATTGTTGTATGTCATATGTCTGTTTACATTCCAGCACTGCTTGCTGGGAACTTCCGTTTGTGCATATAGCTTTTGCTTATGCTGCTTGCTTGGTCATGAAAGGGAGAAGACATGTTTTTCCTCTTGTCCTGATGTATGCCGAATAAACTGCTTGTGAATATTCTTTACACAGCCTCTCCCTGCCACTTCTGTTGTGCGTTTACTCTGCTGAGTTGCGTGCCCAGCTTCTGAAGCTCTGGGTCGCAGATTCATGCTGCACTAAGGACTGGAGTCCGACCCACATGTCGGCCGGTGGGCTGGAGCCAGCTGGGGGCTTGCCAACTGCCCCCGATTCCTTAGCAGCATCCCAGGACCCAGGCCCTCTCCCCCAGCCCCCTACCCACCTGCTGCATGAGGTCCAGGACCATCTCGAAGCGGGCCTTGTGCTCCGTGTCTCCGTCGGTGGGCAGCTCGGCCTCAAACTGCTCGCAGATCCTGCCCATGATGCTGTGCTGCTCCTGGTACTTCTCGAACTGCTCCTGTGGCAGGGAGTCGCGGTGGCTCTGCAGCCACTCTGGGTACTGGGGGAGGAAAAGAAGGGAGGGTGGGCTACGCTGCTCCTACACAGACCATAGGAAGCCTGCCTTGGGCTCATCTTCTTCAGGACTGTCTACACCAAACCAGTCAACTTTAGTTAGACCAAGGCCTACTACAGTCATACCTCGAGTTGAATGTGCTTCAGGTTGAGCGCTTTCGGGTTGCGCTCCACGGCAACCCGGAAGTAACGGAGCGCGTTACTTCCGGGTTTTGCCACTCGCGCATGCGCAGGCGCTCAAAATGATGTCACGCGCATGCGCGGAAGCTGCAAAACGCGACTCGCGCACACGCGCCATCGTGTCTTACGTTCTAGTCAGGATGCAAACGGGGCTCCGGAACGGATCCCGCTCGCATCCCGAGGTACCACGGTACTCCAACATCTTGCGGAAAAATATACCTCAAGAAAAGGAGGATCCCTCTACGCAGCTTTCATAGACTTTAAATCTGCCTTCGATTTAATATCACAAGACAGGCTTTGGGAAAAACCAAGCGCCTCAAACATAGACAGATGTCTACTGTGTCTCTTCTGCAGTTTATACAAAAACACTTGGGGTTAGGTGTGACCGACAGGGCCATTTATCCAAGAAAATCCAAACCTCCCATGGTGTTAAACAAGGCTGCATCCTTGCGCCTACTTTATTCAACTTCTATATTAACTCCTTAGTAGGAAACATGGAGAAAGAAAATGCCAGCCCCCTAAATTGGCTGGTACACCCCTCCCGGTTCTCTTATATGTGGCTGACGCAGTTCTAATTTCCTTCTCCTGTGTAGGCCTAAAAAAACTTCTAAGATCTCTCACTGTTTATTGTAATGCCGAACAATTAACAATTAACTATAGCAAATCCAGAAGACAGGAGTGCCTGGCGTGCTCTGGTCCATGGGGTCAGACACGACTAAACGACTAAACAACAAATAGCAAATCCAAAGTTATGGTGTTGTCTAAAAAAAGAATGAGACACAAATGGAGAATTGACACCAGGGGTAGGCAAACTAAGGCCCAGGGGCCGGATCTGGCCCAATCACCTTCTCAATCCAGCCTGTGGACGGTCCGGGAATCAGCGTGTTTTTACATGAGTAGAATGTGTCCTTTTATTTAAAATGCATCTCTGGGTTATTTGTGGGGCATAGGAATCCGTTATTTTCCCCCCACAAAAATATAGTCTGGCCCACCACATGGTCTGAGGGACGGTGGACCGGCCCCCTGCTGACAAAGGTTGCTGACGCCTGGTCTACACTAAGTAGGTCTCCAGGGTTTCAGACAAGCATCTATCGGACAGCCACACCTGGAGAAGCAATTGAACCCGGGCCCTTCTGCTTGCTCTTTATCACTGAGCGATGGCCCTTTCCACGAAAAACGAAGCAGGTCTCTAGTCCTCATGGTTCTAACGGTAAAGGTAAAAGGACCCTGACCATTAGGTCCAGTTGTGGCCAACTCTGGGGTTGTGGCGCTCATCTCGCTTTATTGGCTGAGGGAGCCGGCGTCCAGCTTCTGGGTCATGTGGCCAGCATGACTAAGCCGCTTCTGGCAAACCAGAGCAGCGCACGGAAATGCCGTTTACCTTCCCGCCGGAGTGGTACCTATCTATCTACTTGCACTTTGAGGTGCTTTTGAACTGCTAGGTTGGCAGGAGCAGGGACCGAGCGACGGGAGCTCACCCCGTCATGCGGATTCGAACCACCAACCTTCTGATCGGCAAGTCCTAGGCTCTGTGGTTTAACCCACAGCGCCACCCGCATCCCTCCTCATGGTTCTAGTGTTGTTTTCTTCCAGGAATGTAGGGAGCAGCCTTACACTGAGTTCAGACCATTGAGCCCAGCTCCGCTCCCCTCCCATCCTGCTTAGGATGCCAGGGGCTGATCCTGGGACCTTCTGCATTCAAGGCAGCTGTTCTGCCACTGAGCCACGCCCCCCCCCCCGTGGTGGGCCCTTCCGCCTTACTTTCTCCGTGATCTCCTTCAGGGAGGGGTAGAGCACGTCTTTCGACAGCAGGTTCTGCATGATGCTTTGCATGATGGGCAGGAGGCTCCCTTCGCCGTCTCCTTCCTCCAAGCCGAGGCCTTCCATGGTCTTCGCAAGCTCCTCCTCAGAGACGCTGGAGTTCTGCGGGAGAAGGAAGGGGGGACGGCTGTTAAGGAGGCCGGGCGAGGAAGCCAACTTCTTCACGGAAGGAAAAGGCAAGAGATGGCCTCCAGCCCCACTGGCTACATTCTAAGCCCACTGCCCCATAGGAGGCTTCCAACTCGGACGGTTTAAAAGAGGATCAGACAAATTCATGGAGGGAGGATCCTGCTCTGGGGGTTTCCCTCGCCAGAGTGCTGCATGCTCTGGTTATCTCCCGCTTGGACTACTGCAATGCGCTCTCCCTGGGGCTACCAATGAAGGTGACTCGGAAACTGCAATTAATCCAGAATGCGGCAGCCAGACTGGGGACTGGGAGCGGCTGCTGATACCATATAACACCAGTCCTGAAAGATCTTCATTGGCTCCCAGGACGTTTCCAAGCAAAATTCAAAGTGTTGGTGCTGACCTTGAAAGCCCTAAACCAGGCATAAGCAAACTCAGCCCTCCAGATGTTTTGGGACTACAACTCCCATCATCCCTAGCTAACAGGACCAGTGGTCAGGGATGATGGGAGTTGTAGTCCCGAAACATCCGGAGGCCGAGTGCCTGCCCTAAACGTCCTCGGCCCAGTAGACCTGAAGGAGCGTCTCCACCCCCATCGTCCAGCCCAGACACTGAGGTCCAGCTCCAAGGACCTTCTGGCGGTTCCCTCCCTGCGAGAAGTGAGGTTACAGGGAACCAGACAGAGTGCCTTCTTGGTGGTGGCACCTGCCTTGTGGAATGCCCTCCCATCAGATGTCAAGGCAACAAACAACTATTTTACTTTTAAAAGACAACTGAAGGCACCCTGTTTAGGGAAGTTTTTAATGTCTGACGTTGTATTGTTTTTAATATTTGGTTGGAAGCCGCCCAGAGTGGCTGGGGAAACTGAGCCAGATGGGTGGGGTATAAATAAATTATTATTATTATTATTATTATTATTATTATTATTATTATTATTAGTTCTCAAAAGTGGCCAGCTGGGTGCCCCAAAAGGAATCTCCCAAGTGGGACCCTGAGCACAACAGCAGCTCCACAGTTCCCCGCCACCTGCTATTCTGTGATAGATTGCTCTTGGGCATGGAGGTTCTGCTATCACAGCAGACCTCCGCATGGCGAGCTTGGCCTTCTGGATCAGGCCAGCCTCCCATCTAGCCCCAGACTCCTGTTCTCGCAGCAGCCAACCAAATGCCCCAAGTGGAATCCCGCAAGCTGGCCCTGGGTGCAGGAGAAGCAGCAGCGCTCTCCTTGCTTGCAGTGAGGGCAGCAACTGGGATTTGCTGCTTCTCGCGCCCCAAACAGACGCCGACGAAACGGGGTCTGCAGAGTGGATCCGCCGCTGGAAACGCAGAGGAAGCGTTTCGGAGAAGCCAGGGAGGCAGAAAGGGGTTCAGGGGTTTACCTGGAGGTCGTCTGCGTTCTTTGCCAAGCCGCTGAGCGTCTCTTTCAGGCAGGAAGTGAACTCCTGCTGGGAGTTGGAGTCGCTTCCTGCAAAAAAGCGAGGGAGAAAGTGTTTAAGAGACCCCGGGAGAGGAAAATGCATTTGGTTTTAAAATGAAAAAAAAATTATTTCTATATTCAGACCATTTCTATACCACTTAATAAGTTTTCTTAAATATATAAATCTCTTAAGTGGTGCACGAAAACCTAAAGCGACGACTAACAACTTGAACAGCAAATTTTACAAAAATATAAAGCCACACACACATTTATAGTTGAAGCAGCTAATCTGATCTGGTGTTTCAAGTCTTAAAGCACTGTCGTAATTTTTTCTAGATTTTACTGTTATCTTTTTGGTAAATCGCTTTGAGGGTTGTCGTTTCTTTACACAATCAAGCAGCGCATAATTTTTACGAAATAAATAACCCAGCGTCAGTTCCTTCCGCTTCTGACACACCTGCCCTCTCGGCCTCTTTGCTCTCACCCAGGAGCCTGAAAAGGGATGCAACCTCACCGCTCTCCCTGTCTTTATTCTGAAAGGGCACCGGAAATCCTGCAACGGGAATTTGGAGACCCCAAGGGCCTGATGCTCGCTTGAGGGAAGAAGGGGATCCCACAAAACACCAATGAACTGCCATGGCAAAGGTAGCAATTCTGTGCTGAGTTGTCCTGGTGCCCCCAAATCCATCCATCGGAAAAGTTGCTTGAAGTTGAGCAATGCTGGCATTCTGACTCAAGGTCATGAAGAACTTTCCAGGGGTAAGAGCCATTGGATAGAGGAGCAGGCAACCTCGGAAGGCGGTGGGCGATATCTCTTTCAGCGGCTGGATGGGCATCGTGCCAGGGAACCTTTAGCTGTGATTCCAACTGTAAAGGTAAAGGTAAAGGGACCCCTGACCATTAGGTCCAGTCGTGGCCGACTCTGGGGTTGCGGCACTCATCTCGCTTTACTGGCCGAGGGAGCCAGCATACAGCTTCCGGGTCATGTGGCCAGCAGGACTAAACCGCTTCTGGCGAACCAGAGCAGCGCATGGAAACACCGTTCACCTTCCCGCCGGAGCAGTACCTATTTATCTACTTGCACTTTGATGTGCTTACGAACTGCTAGGTGGGCAGGAGCATGGACTGAGCAACGGGAGCTCACCCCGTCACGGGGATTCAAACCGCCGACCTTCTGATCGGCAAGTCCTAGGCTCTGTGGTTTAACCCACAGCACCACCTGCGTCCCCACATACAGTTCTGCAATTCTACATGTAGCAACAACAACAGCAGCTCTCCTGGCCAAATTCTGTGCGACTGCCATAAAACTTAGGGAACAAGCTGTACTACCCAAATGATTAAGGTTTTAAATGACAATTTTAGGTTACATTTTAGTGATCAAGATTTAATGTATATTTTTAACTGCCACTATATCCGAATTGTCTCTGTTATACCCAATTGCAATTCAATGTATTCCTGCTGTGTTTCATGATTTTCCTGATATTGTAAGTGAGCCAGAACTGGTCTGTGGACATAATAATAAAATTCATTCATTCATTCAAATTCAGCTCTCCTTCGTTGGAGGTTTTTAAGCAGAAGTTGGAAGCCCACACAGCATTTTCAAAGCAACACCATTTTGAACTCACACATCTGAGGCTGCGGTTAGAAAATGCATGGATCTCTTTGGGGCGTCGAGGGATTTTTAGCTAACCAGTGAGAGTCCGTGTGTGTGTGTGTGTGTGTGTGTGTGTGTAGGTGTGTGTGTGTGTTTTGAAGAGCATTCTTCTCAAAGAGCCCCTTTCAGGGTGTCAGTTTTAACACATATTTTTTATTTAAATAACAGCATAGCGGTAAGATCTCTTGATTGATGTAAAGCAGCATGAAAGGTGCTGGGTCTAATGTTCAGATGGAGGCCTCCTAGCTTTGATTCATAAATGTGTGATGCTTAAGGTGGGTGGGAAAGCACCCCCACATTTATTTTGAGACGCGCGGAAGTCTTCGTTTTGAGAAGGACGGGGTGTGAGTGTGGGCTGCTGTCCTCCAGAGACGGCGGCACTGCACAACATTTTGGGATGTTGTCTCATGGAATTGTGGAGTTGGAAGGGAGCCCCAGGGCTCATCTAGTCCAGCCCCCAGCAATACAGAAATTTCAGCTAAAGCATCCAGGGCTGATGGCTATCCGACCTCTGCTTAAAAAACTCCAAGGAAGGAAAGTCCGCAACCTTCCGAGGGAGACCCTTCCACTGTTGAGCAGCTCTTACTGTCAGAATCTCCTTCCTTGTAACTTGAAGCCCTGGGTGCGAGTCCTGCCCTCCAGAGCAGGAGAAAACAAGCTGCTTCCATTTTCCATGTGACAGCCCTTAAGATATCTGTTCTCCAGGCTAAGCTGTCAGGAGCTTGTCCTACACTCGAGTAGGACCCTGGCAGAGACACATGCCCGACTGGCATGTTCCTTCCCTCCTGGTCGATCATTTGGGAGCTTCAAAATCTTTCTTCAGCCTAAACATCATAGCAACTGATGCCAACTGACACCGGTACAGTTAGGGATCCGCAGAGTTTGCACATTTCGCTTTACAGACCTCAGCATCTCAGCATTTTGGCTAATCTACTTTATTACATATAAACACACACGGAGCACTGCAACATGGCTCCCTCTCTCTCTAGCATCAGACAGCAAAGAGAAAAAGAACAAAGGACAATAGTCCCACTTCACGGAACACAGGAACACAAACATCCTGTCTCCGTCACTTCCCACTCTGGAGTCAAAACATATACCGTCATGTGATAGACAACAATCCCATGACTGCAATCACGGAGCAGGAATTCTAACATCCGCAGCTCCCTCAACCGTTCCTTAGCTTCCAGACCCTTGACCATCCCAGTCACACTCCTCTGTACACGCTCCATCTTTTCAATATCCTCCTCCAACGGAGGTGCCCAGAACTGGACACTGGACTCCAGGAGGGGTCTGACCAAGGCAGAATAGAGCAGGATTATCACTTCCCTTGGGATGCAGGTGGCGCTGTGGGTTAAACCACTGAGCCTAGGGCTTGCCGATCAGAAGGTCAGCGGTTCGAATCCCCGCGACGGGGTGAGCTCCCGTTCCTCGGTCCCTGCTCCTGCCAACCTAGCAGTTGGAAAGCACGTCCAAGTGCAAGTAGATAAATAGGTACCGCTCCGGGGGGAAGGTAAATGGCGTTTCCATGTGCTGCTCTGGTTCGCCAGAAGCGGCTTAGTCATGCTGGCCACATGACCCGGAACCTGTACGCCGGCTCCCTCGGTCAGGAAAGCGAGATGAGCACCACAACCCCAGAGTCAGCCACGACTGGACCTAATGGTCAGGGGTCCCTTTACCTTTTTATCCATTCCCTTGATCTGGGCACAGACTCTTCTCTTTCCAGCAATGCCCAGCTGGAGGGAGCAAGTTCAGACCCTGCCTGGCTTTCCGCTAAGAAGAGGGGCGAAGAAAGAGGAGCTCAAGAAACTCCCCAAAAGCAACTCGCTCACCGACTCTGCCTGCTGCTTCGGAGAGCTTCTGGAACTGCTCCACCAAGTGGGGTTCCTCCTCGGCCAACTCCTTCATGGCCTTCTCAAACTCAGCCGTGGCCTGGGAGGCCAGTTCGCTATCAAAGAGGTCCTGGAAGAACTTCTCCTGCGAGGCGAAGAGGGAATCCTGGGAAGAGAAAAGGTGAAATGGGTGAGATGAGATTGGGAGCTCAGCACCCCCTGGATTTAAGCAGAGGGGAAGCCCTGGGTCTTGCCACTGACCAACATGAATAGCCCACAAAACATTTGCCTAGGCAGCTGGCTAAGTCCAGGGCCAAAAGGAAAATAAATCAATCTGTTCTTAAGAACTTTCCTGTCCTTTACTAAGAAACCAGAGGCATTTTTGCTTGGCATTGTAGGGGAGGATATTAACAGACAGGATGATCAATTGTTTTTATATGCAACAACAGCAGCAAGAATATTTATTGGCACAAGAATGGAAGCAAGAAGAATTACCGACGAAAGAAGAATGGCAAATGAAATTAATGGACGATGCAGAATTAGATAAATGAACAGGAAGGATTCGAAACCTACGGGATCAGAGATACTTGGAGGACAGGAATAAATATTTGAACTATTTGAAAAGCAATTGTGATAAACAGATTATGCTAGTAGGACTGCAAGAAGTTCTGTAAGGAGGGCTTTGTGCAATATTCATTGAAGACTTTGATACAAATTGTTAGATAAGGACGATTAAAAGAGCCCTATCCCCTAATTCTATACTTTACGATCTTTTAAGTGATAGTGCAATCTACAATCTATCATTGATTTGTAGGAGAAAACTGGATTCGATAGGGCTCACTCTAACTGATTTTGAAATCTCTGATCCCAAAGATATATGGGAAATTATCAGGAAGACCCTCACAGAAAAAAGTGTTCTCGCCATGCTTGAGGTTGCAAAGCACAGCACCTGCTCTCCTATCCACCTAAATCTCCCTTTGTGTAGAGATTTCCAAAAGGGATACATGACAAATCTGAAGAAACATGAATTGTGTAGGCTGTTTATGTTGGCCAGATTTAACATGTTTCCCTCGGCGGTAGTGAGAGGAAGATACTTAGCTATCCCAGAATCAGAGCGTCTCTGCAAATGCAGAAAACAGGAACCCGATACTCTAGACTCTAGAGCATATATTCTTTTCCTGTGATTTTGGCAGCTATGCCAGAGGACAATTATTTGAGGCCCTAAAATTTAATAGACAGATTTTTACACAACCAACTGTTCAGGACCTGCTGGCGGACAGCGATGATCAAATTACCTTAATAACGGCTGAATTTTTAAGTGCTGTCCATGAAGAAAGAGTGGGCCATGGTAAAGAGACTTAGTGGTTTTTAATGGTAGGTGATGTTGCTGTGTTGTATTATATTATGTATGTACATCGATTTATTTCTTGGAGTTAAGAATAGGACTGGGTTAAATTGTGTTCACTGAGCCCGTATTTTATACAGTCTGTATATGATGTTTGTTTGTTAATGTGAGATGAGATATGCCTAATAAAGGATTTTGAATTAAATTGAATTGAATTAAGGACGATTAAAAGTAATAGAGAAATTAAGAAATGCAGAACAAGTGATAAAGAACGGAAAATCTTCAGAGGTTGTTGACGGAAGTCTAAATTACTGTATAAGATAAGAAGTTATGTTAAATGATTGTTGGAACTTATATGTTTAAATTATATATATTTTTATATATATATATAAAATTTTTAAGCAGATGGGAAGCCCTGAGTCTTGCCACCGACCAACATAAATAGTTCACAAAACATTTGCCTGGGCAGCTGGCTAAGTCCAGGGCCAAAAGGAAAATAAATCAATCGGTTCTTAAGAACTTTCCTGTCCACTCGCCTGGAAACAAAACTCACTCGCCAGAGGAGAGCAAGGCAAGGAGCTATTTAGGAGCTCAAAACAACGCCACGCTTGGCCCTCTCTGACATCCGCACAAGTTCTTGTGTGGCCTAATGGGCCCATTTTACAGAGCGGGAACTACAAATTGTTCTCAGGATCAGGAACATGGGTAGGCAACCTAAGGCCCGGGGCCGGATCCGGCCATCCTTCTAAATCGGCCCGCAGACGGTCCAGGAATCGGCGTGTTTTTACATGAGTAGAATGTGTCCTTTTATTTAAAATGCATCTCTGGGTTATTTGTGGGGCATAGGAATTCATTCTTTTTTCTCCCCCCCCCAAAAAAAACATAGTCCGGCCCCCCACAAGCTCTGAGGGACAGTGGACTGGCCCCCTGCTGAAAAAGTTTGCTGACCCCTGATCAAGAAGCTGTAGGCTGTTTCAGCAACGGGGAGAAGAAGCAGCGGGCAGTCAGGGGTCCTGTCCATGTGCGACCCTCTCCCCCTGCCGAGCCAAGACCCCCAAAGCCCGTCTCCTTGGGAGCAAGGGGGCTGCCCTCTCTCCCCCAGCTGCCCCACACATCCCCACATTCCCAGGGGGGCGCTCAGGTCGCCTGCCCTACCTTGGCAGCATCTCCAGGCGATTTCTCAGAGACGCTGCCGTCCCCGACGGAGGCAGCTGAAGGGGGAGGCGATGGGACTGGCTTGGCCTTGTCAAAGTCATCGAGGGCACCTGGGGGGGGGAGAGAAAGAAGAGTGATGATGCAAGGCAGGGGGGGGCATGATTGAAACAGCCGCCCCCTCCCGAGGGAGCAGATGTGAGCAGGTACCATCTCCCCAAAATCCATAGGGCAAGAGAGGGGTTTCTTTGCTGGGGGGCCCAGGGGGGAGGAATTTCCCCAAGGAAAATGTGCCTTTCTGGGGGCTTCCCAGCGCACAATGGTGCAGGAAGACCCCACCCCCACCCCAGTGTTTCCCAAAGGGGGCGATATCACTCCCTGGGGGGGGGGGGCGCTGTAATGATCCAGGGGACGGGAGCAGCAATTGGGGGGGGCGTTGAATAAAAATAAGGGAGCGGTGGAAGAATAAAATTTTGAACAACCGTCTGCACACATTTCATCTGTTGCATAATGACGCTGACTGATGCAACATAAAGTCACAGTGATTATTTTCCAAATAAACACACAAAATGCAAGTTTTATAACCGATCAGCGGCCGAGTTGGCCGAATGTTGCCACGTTTTGATAAATAATGTTATAATTTCAAGCTCCAAGGTGCCTTATTTACAACATCTTTCTTTTTTCCTTTCCTTCTCCTCCTGCGATGAGGCTACATTTTAATATTTTAATGTTTCAATATTTTAATGTTGTATTTTAATGTTGTTTTAAAGCTGTAATCATTCAACTTGTTTTTATTATTGCTTGTAAGCCGCCCTGAGCCTGGCCTTGGCTGGGGAGGGCGGGGTATAAATAAAAATTATTATTATTATTATTATTATTATTATTATTATTACGTTGCAGGACGTTGTATGGAAATATAGATACATAAAAGAACACACATTTGTCACTGCTGCATTTCTCTCTTCACTTAAAGTAGGCAAATTTAATGGCCAAATCCGCTTCCAATCTCCGCCCAGATCCTGAGCAGAATCTCCTTTCCAGACTCTACCTGGGAAGGAAGGAGCGAGTGCGAGGAGGCGTTGTGGGAAGCGGGGACCCGGAGGCCAGGATCCTGCCCCTATTGAGCTCCAGGCAGATCCTGGCTCCAGTTTGCCTAAGCAAAAGCGGGTTTTTAAAAAGGACGGAAAGCCCAAGCGTTAAATCTGGCAGGGCTGCGAAATGACAGAAAACCTGCAAGGATCCTCTCCGACACACTCAAGTCCTTACGAAAGGAGATGAAAGTTCAAAGCAGTGATGCAACTGAAAGAGAGAACCACCTCCAGACTCTCTTGCCTCACCCAAGAGGATCACGTTGCCAGCCTTGCGTTGAGCAACAACAACAAGCCCTGCTGGATGAGGTCCTGGGAAAGGCCCGGGTTCAAATCCTGACACTCCGCCAGGGAGGAGTGTGACCGCTGCCTTTCAACCTCACAAGGTTGTCGTGGGGATTAAAGTGGGGGGGGGGCAACGCACGCCACCTTGGGGAAAAGGTGGGTCAAAATGTGCCCCACAGCAAAACGCGCATCGTATTATTATTATTTTTGCTATTTATGTATTGATTCATTTGTTTCATAAAATCGATATACCACTGATTGTGTTAAAATAACTGATCCTCATAAAGAGCAAAACAATAAACTTATCGGGGGAAACAGTTAAAAGCAGCTGTTGGAAACATTCAAAAAATAATTAAAATCAACAATCAGCTAAAAATTAAGACACATGTACCGACGAAAGAAGACTGGAGGACTATGCAGAACTAGATAAACTAACAGGAAGAATTCGAAACCGGCGGGACCAGAGATTCACAGAAGACTGGCGTAAATTTACGGACTATCTGAAAAGCAGTTGTGATGACCAAATTACATTTGTAGGTTTACAGGAAGTTTTGTAAGATTAATAATTGGAATTATTGCTTTATTGAATGAAAAGGATGATGTTAGTTATGATAATTAAGGCAGTATGAATTTAAGAAGTGAAGAACAAATTATAAAAATGGAAGATCATCAGAGGTGCTGATGGAAGTCCAAAAAAATTGTATAAGAGATGAAATTTTGTTTTTTGTTTTTTAATAATTTTTTTATTAAGGTTTTCAAAGTATTACCAAAAAAAAAAAAAAAAAGGAAAAATACAAAATAAAAGCAGTTAAAAACAGTTCAGTCTTTTCATATCTTATTTTTCATTTGCCTGTTCCCCGGACCTCCTCACACCTCCCTTTTTTGTATCCAATTCAATTGGTAGGTTCAGCAAATCCTTTCCCTCTTTGTTTTTATCCTTGTTTTATCCTTGAGATGAAATTTTGTGCAATTAATATGTTTGAAAATTATATATATATATATATATATATATATATATATATATATATATTTGCTTTCGTATATATATATGACACATGTATATTTCGTATATATATATGACACATGTATATTTGCTTTCGTATATATATATATGACACATGTAAACATTCTGCATATCTGGATAGTCTTGTTTAAACAAAAATGTTTATAGCAGGCGCTGTAAAGAGTACAGCTAAGGCCCCGTCAAGAGGCAGGGAGTTCCACAGGGTGGGTGCCAACACACTAAGATGCTGGTTTCTTACGGAAGCAGAATGGGTGCCGTGGGGCACCTGCACCAGTGCCAGCTCTGCAGATTGTGTTGATTTAGCAGAGTGGGCGTATATGGCGTAAGATGATCTCTGGTCCCAAGCTGCTAAGGGCTTATATTGTAATATCCTAAATTTGTTGTGGCAGCAAGAAAGGGCAAGGCACAAAGTCGTGAGTGCCAGGTGCGAATGAGCCCCCAGGCAGGAGGGTCACCTGCTGCCCCAGAGGAGCCTGAGGGCAGCCTCACCAACCCCCCTGCGCCAGCCCACGCAGAAACCCTAGAAGTGTGGAGTCGCAAGGGACCCCCAAAGGTCAACCAGCCTAACCCGCTGCAATGCAGGAATCTCAGCTAAATCATACACAACACATGGCCACCCAACCTCTGCTTTAAAATCTCCAGGGGGAGTGAATCATGTGGGGATGGGGAGGGGGGCACTGTGCCCAGTGATGGGGGTCTCTGTCCACTCTGCCAAGAGGGCATTTATTTTAATTTGGGGAGGTGGGGCAGGGTATCGACTCTTCCTGCTGGGACACGTTATGAGAGACCTTCCCACGTGCATACACACATATACAGGCTTCTAAGCAGGGAGGGGGGAGAGAAATAAGCAGCATATGGGGCAGCCCCCCTTAGGGGGAAAATGTGGGGAGAGTCTCTTTAAAGGCCCCCGCAGCGGGGATTCTCTTTGGGATGTGTGAACAGGGGAGGAATGGGGGTGGGAGTCAACCCCCGTGTCAGACACTTTGGGGGGAAGGTGGGGGGTTGAGGGGGGAGCCTCTCCCCCCATCTACACGCAGCTGCCCCCCAACCAGCCGGGGAGGCCTGGCAGGCGGCAGCCCCAAGGTCAAGGTCCTTTGCGGGGAGGCTCTCTTTCTCCCTGCCCCCCTGCGGGGCGGGGCAGAGCCAGACCCTTCTCACCCCACGGCCTGACACGCGTGTCGCCACCCTGATCGTGTGAACGGGGGTGGGGGGAGGGAAGAGGGCAGTTTCGGGGCGGGGCTTGGGTTTGCGTGGGACTTGGAGGGGGGTCCCCCTCCAACCCCCCACCACCCCGGGGGTCTCCCCTTTCCTTACTCTCGAGGAGCTCCTCCAGCTCCGCGTCCTGCTGCTGCTCTTGCGGGGCGGGCGCCGCCATGTCTGCCGGGAGGGAGGCGGGGAAGCCGGGCAGGAAAGCGGCTACGGGAGCCTCGGAACTTCCTCCGCCTCCTTCTCGGGCGGAGCCAGCCGGAGCCTCGCCTTCCCTTCCGCTCCTCCGCCCTCCGGGATCGGGGCCCTTCCGCTTCTCCGCGGAGCCCAATGGGTCTACTCTGAGCAGGGCACAGATTCTCCTTGCGAGCCTGTTGCAGGAATTTGTGTATAGGGTTTTTTTTGGGGGGGTTGCCCCTCCAGCTGATATCTTGCACATGCCGCCCACTACCAAAATTAGCATCATCACTTTTGTGACATGTCGCCACAAAACAGTTTCTTCCTATCCATTCAAAGGGCGTTTGCTGCACGATACCAAATGTAAGAATTCACTGATCAATGTATCTGTGTACTGACTCACTGGGGAAACTTCAGAAATTCCTATAGACCTGTGAGCTCAGCTCCTCCGCAGCCCCTCTGCCTGAGGGATAATCCCTGGCCTCCTGATACCTGAGTGCCAGACAGGTAGCCATTCCAGAAATAACAAACCCAGATGAAGACAAAAGGGTGGGATGAACTTGGCTGGGAAACAGGGAAATGTAAAGATCTCTTTTCTTACACTTGATGGGTGTTTGGTGGAGGGCAAGGGGAACCATGGGGCAGGGTCCAGGATGCTCAGATTCCTGCCACCAGACCTCCCCTTTCATGATGTAACCGTGATGTATGAGTGATGTAGTTTGGGGGGGGTGTAACATGGGGATTAAAGGTAAAGGGACCCCTGACCATAAGGTCCAGTCGTGGCCGACTCTGGGGTTGTGGTGCTCATCTCGCTTTCCTGACCGAGGGAGCCGGCGTACAGCTTCCGGGTCATGTGGCCAGCATGACTAAGCCGCTTCTGGCGAACCAGAGCAGCACATGGAAACGCCATTTACCTTCCCCCGGAGCGGTACCTATTTATCTACTTGCACTTGGACGTGCTTTGGAACTGCTAGGTTGGCAGGAGCAGGGACCGAGGAACGGGAGCTCACCCCTTCACGGGGATTCAAACCGCTGACCTTCTGATCTGCAAGCCCAAGAGGCTCAGTGGTTTAACCCACAGCACCACTCGCGTCCCCAACATGGGGATTAGCAGCTAATAAAAGTTTGGGTTCTCTTTTGTTGGGGGCTTCCATCTTGTTTCACCTGGTGGCAGGTGGGAGTCCCGTCGCAACAGTCTTCAGTAAAGACCAAGCCTCCTGGCTGCTGTTTTGCTCCGGTATTCCTGGCTGGGGTCCTGGTTTTTCGTCCAAGGGAGCCCTCGCATTTCTCCGTTAACAAGCCAAAGATAATAGGAAGGAATCGTAGTTTGGAAGGGACCCCCAAAGGTCATCTAGCCCAACCCGCTGCAACCGCAGGGGGTCGCAGCTGAAGGATCCGCTTGGGCCAAGAGAGGCACCCCCTGGAGGAACCCAGAGGCAGGGGCTCGTGTCTCCCCAGGGTGCAAGTCGCTTCTGCAAGGCAGGTGAAAGGGGGTCAGGATGCGAAACACTCTCATTTGCAGGAAAGCCTCAGCTGGAAGAGGAGGGTCAAAAAACCCCAGGACGCCCTTGAACCCAGGGCTGCTCCCCTTCCTTCCTTTGCATTTCCTCTAAGGAGCTCAGATCAAAATGAGCAGATAACAGCAAAGGTTGCTGGGTTCATAGCTGGGGCAATCAGAATAAGGGCCACTGACTGCTTATTCAGGACTTTAAATTGTGCTCTTATATCAAATTTCCTTTTCTGCGTATACTATAATGTTTTACTGTTGCTATGGCCATTGGCTATTGCAAATGAAGTTCAGATAAATAGATAGATAATTTATTACGGTCAGAGACCAGCTTATAAAACACACTTGGGGGGTTTATCTTATCTTATATCAGGCAGATCACATCTTGTTTGAATCGTGTTTGCCAGTATGCGTGATGCTTCTCCCTTCCAACACTTATGGGACAACCGTACTGCGCTACTGGCCAGAGGAGCAGGACCTTCTCTGAAATTATTCTTCTCATCTTCCTCTGAGGAGCTCAGGGAAGTTGTGGTGGTTGCATTAGATCAGGCATGTCCAAAGTCTGTTTCGGGGGCCTAATCCAGCCCGCCAGTCAGTTGAATCTGGCCCCTGGTGGCAGTTTATTTCCTGGGGTAAAATCCTCAAGAACATCAATCTTAAAAAAAGGTCAACAACTTTGGTCGGCCCCCATGGCCCTTCACTTCATCACATCTGGCCCTCTGAAAAAAGTTTGGATGCCACGGCTTAGATATTCCCAGCGCCTTCCTTCTCCTCCTCCCCCTTTGTCCAAGGTGTCTTCATCACCATCTTCCATCTTCATCAGCTCAGGGGGGAGAAGAGGGGCTCCCCCCCCACCTTTGGGCACCCTGAGCTGTGTGTTTTTAGGGACCACTGAAAGTCGCTTCCAAAGTATTCAAACTCCTGGTGGGACGATGGAAGGAATCACGACGGAAAACCCATTTTGTTGCTGTTCCTTTTTGGCACCCCACGACCCGCCTGGCCGAGAGAGCCCCCTGGAAGACTGCTTTGGCAATGGGCAGCCCACCCTGCAGGGGTGGCGGGGGGGGGCTTGGGAGAACAGGCCAGGGTGCTGCCAAGGCTTGGTTGCCACGGCAACTGCGGCCCACTACTCAGGTCAAAGCCTGAGCCCCGTTTTGAGGGGGCTGCCCCGGGTCTCCTAAGCAGCTGAGGCGAAGATGGGGGCTGTCACCTGCTCCCCCCCAAAGTGGGCACAGAGCTCCCAGCCCCCTCCTCAAATCCTTCCCCTCCAGGGAGACCCTCTCACTTATCCCTTACAGCGGTTCTCAACCTGCGGGTCCCCAGATGTTGCTGGACTACAAATCCCATCATCCCCGAGCTCTGGCCTTGCTAGCTATAATAATAATAATTTATTATTTATACCCCACCCATCTGACTGGGCTTCCCCAGCCACTCTGGGCGGCTTCCAACAAAATATTAAAAAACCGTAATACATCAAACATTAAAAGCTTCCCTAAACAGGGCTGCCTTCAGATGTCTTCTAAAAGTCTGGTAGTTGTTTTTCTCTTTGACATCTGGTGGGAGGGCGTTCCACAGGGCAGGCGCCACCACCGAGAAGGCCCTCTGCCTGGTTCTCTGTAATGTTGCTTCTCGCAGGGAGGGAACCGCCAGAAGGCCCTCGGAGCTGGACTTCAGTGTCCGGGCAGAACAATTGAGGTGGAGACGCTCCTTCAGGTCTACTGGGCCTTTGAGGCTGTTTAGGGCGGTCGGCGGTTTGAATCCCCGCGACGGGGTGAGCTCCCGTTGCTCGGTCCCTGCTCCTGCCAACCTAGCAGTTCAAAAGCACCTCAAAGTGCAAGTGGATAAATAGGTACCACTCCGGTGGGAAGGTAAACGGCGTTTCCGTGCGCTGCTCTGGTTCGCCAGAAGCGGCTTAGTCATGCTGGCCACATGACCCGGAAGCTGTACGCTGGCTCCCTTGGCCCATAAAGCGAGATGAGTGCCGCAACCCCAGAGTCGGCCACGACTGGACCTAATGGTCAGGGGTCCCTTTACCTTTACCTTAGGGCTTTCAAGGTCAGCACCAACACTTTGAATTGTGTTCGGAAAGTTAGGGTTGATGTGAGTTGTAGTTCAACAACAGCTGGGGACCCACAGGTTGAGAAAGGCTGCAAGTTAGGACTCTTCATAATAGCCCATTACACCCACTTTGAGCCCCCCCCCCGAGTTAGGGACCCAACTCCCACCTCACATATCCTGCAGTCTGAACCTCAGTTGCCCAACGTGCATTTCCGGCCCCCACCCTCTCACTGCAGTCCCACTGCACCCACAACCCTCTCCCCATTCAATCCAGGTCTGCCCCCCACCCTCATTGTCAGGGATATTCCCTCCCCCTCAAGCAGATGCCCACCAAAAGACCCCCCCCCCAGCAGGAGTCCCTCCCTGGCACTCCACCCCCACCAGAACAACCCCTATGGAGCCCCCTCTCTCCTAGGGGCCTTAAAGCCCCTTCACACTTGGAGCCAAAGGCAGCGGACGGGAGGGGGGGGTCCTGTTTCTGTCCTTTCAGCCCTTCCAGTTTACTCCACTCCATTTTTTGGTGAAAGGAAAAAATCCGCACAGACGGGAGGTCAAATAATATTTTACTTTGCCCCCCCCACTTTTCTTAAAAAACAAAAAAACAAAAACCACAAACCTTTACCATCGGAAGGAAGAAAATAAAATTGGCTTTTAGCGGATTGAACAGCAAACAGTCTGGCATCTTATTTTTTTAAACATATATATATATCTATATATATATCTATATATAATCTTCTATGCCTCATCCACCTGTTTCAGCAAGCGGGGGGGATGGGGGTTTTGCGAGGGACTTGCAGCTGGAGCCAGGGAGCCCCCCCCCCCAGGAATCTGCACGACCCGGCCAGGATGGTTGGGGGTCGGGGTTGGGGGGTGGCAAGCCTGAGAACGAAGAGGGGCCGCCTGCCCTCTGCTCCAGCCCAAACGCCGCCTGCAACGTGGCAAAGCCAGAGCGGCCGCGGGAGGAAAGGGCGACTGGGGAGGGGGGCAGATTGTCGTAGCACCAGCAGGCGCCCCCTCCCCAAATAAAACAGCAGGAGGACCCTATCTGCAAGGAAGGCGCCCCCAAAGCTTAGCCCTCGCCCACCTCTCGCAAAGCGAGTGCCAGGGCGGAAGACAGAGATGCTTGTGGGGCGCAGGGCAGCCATTCTGCCCCAAGAGGGTTTGGGGTGGGGGGCACAGGGGGGCAGCGGCCGTTGCCTGCCTGATCCCTTTGGGCTGCTGCTGCCGCTGTCACGCCCTGAGAGTGCAGTGGTCTTTGCTGCCCCCCCAACCCAGTCTGGGCTACGGGGGTCGTGGGCCTTTCCGATCTTCTAGATATCCATCAGGGTATGGAGGCATATCTTTTAAAAAAAACCAACAACTTTCTCATATATTTACAATAACTCAATGCATATACATACATATTTATATCAAATAAGGTCTGGAAGCAGCTGGGAAATCTCTCCAGAGGGGACGGGGTCTTCCTCACCGTGGAGAGAAAAACAAAAATAAACAAAATGGAAAAAAAGTGCA